TAGCATCCAACCTAAACCTTGAGGCAACTTGAGGCCACCACCTCTTTGTCCTATTGCTGTCGACTGGGAGCAGATGCAGACCCCTCCTCACCACAGTCTCCCTTCAGGAGTTGGAAGGAGCTCAGGTCACCCCTGAGCCTCCTCTTCTCCAGACTGAACCTCCACTCCAGGCCCAGCAGCCCCCTCTCCCTCAGCGGAGTACCTCCAGGCCTCATCCCCACACACACTCAACATGCACAGCCCTGAGCAATCTCTTCCAAAGCCTCCTGCTCTCCACGCTCGTCAGAGCAGCTCCAGGCCTCACCCCGTGTCCCTGTGCCCCCCGCCCCATCCTCCTGCGCGCTCTCCCCGCGGCCTCCTCGCCATCTTCCCCTCAGCGCCGCGCCGTCTCCATGGCAACCACGGAGGCACGGAGCGGGACTACAACTCCCAGCACGCTCCGCGCTTCCCGCCGCCGCCCGCGCGCAGCCAATCAGCGGCCGCCACATCGCGCGGGAAGGGCGGTGCGGAGGGCGGCGAGAAGATGGCGGCCAAAGGCGGCAGGAATGGGCTGCTCGATAAGGTGCGGGGCTGCCGCCCGGCTTTGACCTCTATTTCTTTTTCACTTTCGCCTCAGCGCTGCCCTTGGGGCTGTCTTCGGGTTCACCCCGGCCTTCCAAAGCGCTGTGAGGGGAGGGAGAGCGGGAGGCGGCGGGCGGGCAGTGTGCTGAGGGCTGTGTGAGGGGCTGAAGAGTCTGTGGGAGAGCCGGGGTGAGAGCTGGGAGAGTTCGTCCTGGGGATGGGAGGGCTCTGAGGAGGCCTGGATTTGATGTTCCTGTGTCTGCAGGGAGCTCTGGGAAAGGTGGGCAGGGGGCTCGGTTGGGGGGTTTTGATCGGGTGGGACGGGAGGTGACGGCCTCAGGTGGCTCTGGGGTGGGTCAGGTTGTGTGACAGGAAAGCTTTTATCTGAAGGAGTGGTGAAGCACCGACGCAGCTGCCCAGAGAGTGGGGTTGTCACCGTCCCTGGGGGTGTCCCAGAGCTGTGCGGATGTGATACTGAGGGATGTGGAGGTGGATTGGGGATCTGAGAAGTCTTTCCCAACCTTCACGGTTCTATGAAAGCTATGGAGCCAGGCTGAGAGCTGGGAGTGTTCAGCCTGTGGAAAAGAAGGCTCTGCAGAGAGCTTACAGCACCTAAAGGGCTGCGGGAGAGCTGGGGTGGGCTGTTTGTCAGCTACGTGGTGTTAAGCTCGAAGAAGCTGGATTTAGATTAGATGAGGAAGAAATTCTTCACCACCAGGGTGGGGAGGCTCCAGCACAGCAGTCCCGAGCTGTGGGTGCCCAACTCTGGCAGTGCCCAAGGTGGTGGATGATGCTGTGGGCATTGGGCTGTGGGAGGCTTCCCTGCCCGTGGAGGGATTGAAACTGGCTGAGCTCTAAGATCCCTTCCAACCCAAATGTTCTGTGATTTATATTTTTTAACCTTTCTCATGTATCAGCTTTGATCTCAGCTCAGTTCCAAGCAGACAGGTGTTTGTGTCGCAGCCCTTCCTTGTGTTTGATGAGTGCTGATGCTCCTCTGTCACAAAAATGAAAGGCCTGGAGGCGTTTTGTTCACAGGATGATAGAAACTGATGCCTCCATCTCAAGGGAGGGAGGGTGTACCTTCAGAGTGCTGTGCTTCCTTCAGCAAACTTCAAAGCGGGGATGGCTGCAGTTGAGAACAGTTTGATTCTTTTTCTGTTGATGTACGTGTATTTGCAAGCACAGTTCTTGTGTATTTGTTTTGAGATGAAGCTCCTCATGCTGTGTGTGAGATTTGGTGTGAAATCTTCAACGCAGCATCAGCCACCGAGTGAATTCTGTTAGTGGAAGATGCTAACGAAGTACTTCTGCACACTTCTTTGTGTGCAGCCTTCAGCTCCTGTTTGAGAGCACTTTGTGGTTGTACTTAAAGAGCTCTAAGAAATACCACACTCTCAAGGTGTTCTGTGTCTTCTGCTGTGTCCTCTGTGTGTGCAGCTGTGGTTGTTTCAGAAGGAAATGAAGCAGTTGCTAAGGGAAGTACATCGTAGTGCAGGAGGAGTTTCAACAGAGCTGTATAAAGCACACACAAGACAGTTTTCTTTCCTCCCTCTCCTTTGTGCTGATCCATACGTTTTTGTTTCCTGCTTCCTGATGACTTAAATCTGGTAATGTCTGTATTGCAGAGGTGTTATCTGGTAAATCATGCTCTTAGTCCCTAAATTGCTCAAGTTTTTCTCAAGCAAGACAGCAGTGGCATGGGACTGAGGCTTTGTACTCCGATAAAAGGGCTGCTCGCTTCACGTTTGTGTTTGTACTTCACCAGTGAGCTGAATCAGGGTGAGTTAAGGGAGCCTGGGGTGTTAACTATCCCATTTTTTTGTTGTCTTTCTCATATTCTTTCAGCATTGATGACAACCAAGCAGTTCCTCCTGACCCTGGGCAGCCTGGTCTGGTGGTTGGTGACCCTGCACACAGCAGGGGGATGAAACTGGATGATTATTGTGGTCCTCTTCAACCCAGGCCATTCTGTGATTCATTCTATGACCCATAGAACCAGGGCTGTGTGCCTTGCAGTGTGCATATTCTGCTGGGGCTCATCCTGGCTCTCTGGGCTGCATCTCAGTGTCCTGATTTAAAGATCCTACACCAGCATTCATATAATCACAGTAGAAACAAGTCTTTCTTTGTGACTTATGTTTTCAGTACTCACAGCATGCCTTAAACTTCAAAGCAGTATTTGGAGAGACAGGCTGTGCTTGGGTGCAACGTAAACCAAGCTGACAGCAGAACAGGAGGAATAAGGCAGGGGGAAAATGAAGTCTGTGCTGCTCTTTGAGATGTGAGTGGCTTGACACCTCCCATAGGATTTTTCTGTGCCTGTTGCCAGGGAGGGAGCTTGCAGCTGTAGGTGAAGGTGATTTCAGGCATGGCGAGGGATGGAGTGCTTGGAGCTGGGGGTGGCTGGGGTGAGAGAAAGCCTGTGTATTCCTTTTTTTGGAGCTAAGAGCAGAATGCTGCCCTGCAGTCACCCAGCTGCAGGTAGCTGTGTTGCTCAGGTATTTCAGCCAGGTCCCTGTGTGCTTCCTGTGCTTTTAGGACTCTCCCACACGTTGAAGCCTCGTTCTTACACACGAGTAAAGCAAGGGCGTGCTTTCAAGTGCTAAACCACCTCTGAGGTGTGGCCTGACTGCAATAACCTGCTTGTTATCCCCTGGTGTGGGGAGGAGGAGGCACGCTTCTGTCACTTGGTTTTGGAAGAAAGGAGTTGAGTTGCAGCTGAACTGAAAACGATCTTGAAATGGCTGCAGGTTTCTGTGAGTTCCCCTCCCTGGCTCCCACAGGTCAGAATTGAAAGGGGAGCTGCAGTGCAGTGCTGGGAGGAGGAATCTCAAAGGGGCAGAGGTGAAGGGGAGGCTGAAACTCCTCCCTGCCTGAGTCCCACAGTGCAGATATGTCCCCATTGCAAGGTCCTCTCTGGCCTGACCCACCTTTGGGGGGTTCAGGATGGAGAGCAAGAATCCAGAAGGTGATTCTCGTGCTGCCTGGGTAAGGCAGTCTGTACATCTGTTCCCCTATGCAGATTCCTTCAGTGAGGGACATGTCTGCAGTCCGGTGCCTTTGGGGACAGTGACCACAGAGTAGCTTTAAAATCCCGAGGCTTTCAGTGATAAGCCTGAGGGCTTTGGTTTTATTTCTTCTTTTGATTCCTGAGTCTTTTCTCACTGCTGTTTTCCAACTATTCCAAGCCTCTCTAGGAAGCTGTTGGTTTTAGGACGTAAGCAGACTAAAACTTGACTAAAAACTTGAGTTTTGGCAGTGAGATGGATGCGCTGTGCTTCAGTGCCAGGTGAACCACGCTGCTGCCACGAGCAGGGACTGCCAGGGACTGCCTGAGGTAAGAGCAGATTAGGTGACAGCCAAAAGGGATGTGTGGCACTGATCACACCTGGATCCCATCAGAGCTGGAAAGCTCAGGGTGGTAGCACTGCCCGCTGTGCATCTCCCCAGCTGGGCCTCAAGTCTCAGAGCACCTCTTCCCAGTGAGAAATTGTAGATGTGTGTAAAGGAATAAAAACAGCTCCTTCTTTGTTCCTTCTGCAGCACGTTGACCAGAGGTCTGCTCCACCTGCAGCAGGGAGCATTGCTGTGTCAGGTGTTTTGTCATAGAATCACAGCATGGCCTGGGCTGCAAAGGAGCTCAATGCTCATCCAGCTCCAAGCCCTGCTGTGTGCAGGTCGCCAAGCAGCAGCCCAGGCTGCCCAGAGCCACATCCAGCCTGGCCTTGAATGCCTGCAGGGATGGGGCATCCACAGCCTCCTTGGGCAACCTGTGCCAGTGCCTCACCACCCTCTGCCTCCAAAACTTCCTCCTCACATCCAACCCAAACCTCCCCTGTCTCATTTTAAATCCATCCCCCCTTAAAAAATAGGGAATTCTTTCCCATTCTCTACTCCTGATAGTGTTGTTTGTGGGAATCCGAAGGGCTGGGAGTAAAACTGCTGTGGGTGCTTTTATAAAGAAACATCAATAATTGAAAGAATTGTTCATTCCATTTCTTTCACATCTGCTTCTTGCTCCTGATTCATACCTGTGGATCCTGAAAGGTAATCCCAACTTCACCAATGTGTCTGTGGGAGAGAGCAGGTTGGGTTTTACATCCTCCTTCCAGAGAAGGAAAGGAGCTCTTCTGACAGCTGTGTTGTAAATGCAATTTGGGGGCTCTGGGACTGGGATGTAACAGGGAACAGTCACTCAAGTTGCTCAGATGACTTTGACACGACGTGCTGCTTTGAAAGGGCTCAGGTAGCCAAGAACTGCCACCACAGACACTGTCATTCAAAGGGAAGTTCATGCCTGTAAGCTGTGCTATCTGGGATTCATTGCTGTGAAGGATCTCCTTCTGCAGGTGGGTCTGAGGGAGATCTGGGCACAGAAGAGCTGAGGAGTCGCTTGGTTTGTAGCAGGGATGGACTGCCTGGCACTTCTTTGCCATGCCTTCTGTGGGTCTCTTACGACCCTGTTGGTAAAGGTGTTTTGAGTTCTTCCTCCCGTTATATCAGCCCCCAGAGGATCTGTGTGTAACTTTCTTCCCACAAACCATCAGAACACCCTCAGAGGCCACAAGCAGGGCCATGCTGCAGCTATCAGGACCAAAAACAGAAGAAAACCAATGTAAAAAGTTGTTTCCTCAGTTTTTTTTCCCCTCTGCTGGTGGCAGAGTTGAAATCTGCAGAGCCTTTCTTTGGCAGTGGAGCTTTAGTGCTGGAGTGGCTGCGGTGCAACACAGCTCCCTCTCACACAGCTCTGTAGGTATTGGGGTTTCTCTCCTAACCTTTGTGTTCCTGACAGCGGCAAGTGTGGTAAAAGAAACTGTTACCCCATCCCAAATCTCTCACGTTTTGCTCTCCGTTGCAGTGGAAGATTGATGACAAACCAGTGAAGATTGATAAATGGGACGGCTCAGCTGTGAAAAATTCTCTGGACGACTCTGCCAAAAAGGTGTGTGGTGCCAGTGCTGCCTCTGAGCTCTTGAGAAGGATGATGTGGGGGGTCCTGGTGGATGCAAAACTGAACATGAGCCAGCAGTGCTCCTGCAGCTGGGAAAGCAAACGGGATCCTGGGCTCCATCAGCAGAGGGGTGGCCAGCAGGGACAGGGAGGTGATTGTCCCCCTCTGCTCTGCTCTTGTGAGGCCCCATCTGCAGCACTGCATCCAGGGCTGGAGCCCCCAGGACAAGACAGACAGTGAGGTGTTGGAGAGGGTGCAGAGGAGCCACAAAGATGAGCAGAGGGCTGCAGAGCCTCCCTACAAAGACAGGCTGAGGGAGCTGGGCTTGTTCAGCATGGAGAAGAGAAGCTGCGGGGTGACCTCAGTGCAGCCTGCAGTGCCTCAAGGGAGCCTGCAGACAGGAGGGGAGTCAGCTCTGTGCAAGGGGAGATGGCAGCAGGACAAGGGGAAATGGTTTGGAGTTGAGGGAGGGCAGCTGGAGGTTGGATGTCAGGGGGAAGTTGTTCAGAGAGAGAGTGGTGAGGGGCTGGAACAGCTGCCCAGAGAGGCTGTGATGCCCCGTCCATCCCTGGAGGTGTTCAAGGCCAGGTTGGATGGGGCCCTGGGCAGCCTGGGCTGCTGTGAGATGGGGAGGTTGGTGGCCCTGCATTGGTGGGGGGTTGGAGCTTCGTGGTCCTTGAGCTCCCTTCCATCCCAAGCCATTCTGTGGTTCTTTGAAAGCACAAAGTGAACCCATCTCTGCGTTCCTCCTGCAGGTCCTCCTGGAGAAGTACAAATATGTGGAAAACTTCCGCCTGATCGACGGGCGCCTCATCATCTGCACCATCTCGTGTCTCTTTGCCATCGTCGCTTTGATCTGGGATTACCTGCACCCCTTCCCTGAATCCAAACCTGTCCTCGCCTTCTGTGTCGTCTCATATCCTTTACATGCACTCTCTTTTTAAGACCACGGGGCTTTGGTTTTCCCAGAAAGCACAACAAAGCCCTTCTGTGTCTTCCCATGTCGGCCCTGTGGGAATTTCTCTGCCTGGAGATCAGCTGAGATCCAACTCTGCTTCGTGTGACGCAGTGCTCTGGTTGTCATGTGCTTACATGTGAGTCCATGTGTGAGGATCCAGGCCCCCCCTGGGCGCTCTGGTTGACTTTTCTAAGAGCCAACTCATGTTGAAGAGTGAACTCTGCAATACCAGCACCTGCTTGGAGTGCTGTTCCTAACAGGGTGGCAGTGGGCTCTGTGTGTGGGCTGCCGGGTTGGTTCGACAATGCAAACGGGCACCCGAATTTCCTTAACTTGGTCGAACGTATTTTGTGATGATGGGAATCCTGACCATCTATACCTCCTACAAAGAGAAGAGCATCTTCCTGGTGGCTCACAGGAAGGACCCGGCTGGGATGGACCCTGACGACGTGTGGCAGCTCTCCTCCAGCCTCAAACGGTACCGTGAGCTCCGCCTGCGTTTATCACAGGGCAGGAAAGCTTTGGCCAAATGCCACCAAAACGAGGCAAAAGGAGTGGTGTTTTTTGTGCTGATCCCACGGGATTCTGTAGGATCCAAAGAGTTGTCTCTTATTTTTGCACTCTTCAATCCGTTTCACAGTAAGTAAGAAATGAGGGACGGCACCAAGCTGTCCTTTGCCTCAAATCTTCACGTCTCATTTCTTAGTCAATGGGGAACGAAAACCCAATCCCTTAACATGAACAGGTTGCCCAAGGAGGCTGTGGATGCCCCATCCCTGCAGGCATTCAAGGCCAGGCTGGATGTGGCTCTGGGCAGCCTGGGCTGCTGCTTGGCGACCTGCACACAGCAGGGCTTGGAGCTGGATGAGCATTGAGCTCCTTTGCAACCCAGGCCATTCTATGGAATTACACTCTGAAATCTGTGTTTCCCCCCCCCCCAGGTTTGATGACAAATACACCCTGAAGCTGACCTTCATCAGTGGGAAAACCAAACAGCAGAGAGAAGCTGAGTTCACCAGGTCCATCGCCAAGTTCTTCGATGCCAACGGGATGCTGGTGATGGAGGCCTACGAGCCCGAGGTCTCCAAGCTGCACGACAGCCTGGCGCTGGAGAGGAAAATCAAGTGAGCTGACCTCCGTGGAGCTCAACGCAAATAAAGGAAAGCAGTGCGAGAAAGCGATTCGCTTCTAATTTTGTTCTTCTGGTTGGTTTTTTTTTTTGTCCTGAAATCCTTTTCCCCTTTTTGAATCGATGGGGATCAGAAGTTGTGCTGAGCTGCACCCGCCCGCAGCTGGCTGGGTTTAGGGGGGATGATGAAGAGGGCATTGCTCTGTGCCACGCGTCCCTATGGGAGGAATTCAGGACAGAAAGCCTCGTTGAAACCAACTGTCTGTTGTTTGCAACCCGAGTTCTCTTTATTTTTATATTTAATTGCTCTGGGGGATTGTTTTTATATCAAACCTTTTAGGGCCGTGGGAAGGAGCGGCGTTCTGCGCTTGTCTCCCGGCTGTGCGTCCGGCTGCTTTTTTCTTCTCGCCGCGTACGATGAAACCCTGCTGGAAAACCGGCATTTTTTTAAAGCGCTTTTATGTTTTTCGTTTTCAATAAAAGGAACGAAGCGATGTGAGCGATAAACCCGGCGCAGCTTTAGGGGCGGTCCGTGAGTCGGGAGGGAGGGGGGGAGGCGGTCCTTGGAACCACCCCCGTGGGGTCGGGGCGGAGCTGGGGGAGGGCTCGGAACGGCGGAAGCGGCTGCGGGAGACGGTGATCGAGGGCGAGGGGGGGGGGAGGCGGGAGGGACGACCGAGGTACGGGGGTGCATTGGGGTTTGGGGCGTAATGGGGGACTGGGAACGTTGGGGGTGAAAGGGGGGGGGGGGGGTTGGATGGGGGTTTGCATAGGGGGATTGGGGAAATTGGGGCGGTGGGGGGGGGTGTCCTCGGGGTTTGCAGGAAAGGGGGGGCATTGGTGTATATTGGAGAGGGGGGGCGGGAGGGCATTGGTTCGTATTGGAGGGGAGCAGGGGGCATTGGTGCGTATCGAGGGGGCATTGGTTCGTGTTGGAGGGAGGCGCAGGGGGCATTGGTGCATATTGGGGGGTATTGGTTCGTATTGGGGGGTTGCGAGGGGCATTGGTGTGTATGGGGGGCATTGGTTCATATTGGGGGGATGCGGGGGCCATTGGGGGGGCGCGGGGGGCATTGGTTTGCATTGAGGGGCATTGATGCGTATTGGGGGGGTGTGGGGGGCATTGGTTCATATTGAGGGCATTGGTTCGTGTTGGGGGGGGCACGGGGGGCATTGGTGCGTATTGGGGGGACGCGGGGGGCATTGGTGCATATTTGGGGGGGCATTGGTTCGTAGTGGGGGATTGCGGGGGGCATTGGTTCGTATCGGGGGGGCATTGGTGTGTATTGGGGGACACGGGGGGCATTGGTTCGTGTTGGGGGGGCACAAGGGGCATTGGTGCATATTGGAGGGGGCGCAGGGGGCATTGGTGCATATTGGAGGGGGCGCAGGGGGCATTGGTGTGTATTGGGGGGGCATTGGTTCGTAGTGAGGGGAGTGGGGGGGGTGCGGGGGGCATCGGTTCGTATTGGGGGGCATTGGTTCATACTGGGGGGATGCGGGGGGCATTGGTTTGCATTGGGGGGCATTGGTGCATATTGGGGGGGCATTGATGCGTATTGGGGGGGTGTGGGGGGCATTGGTTCATATTGGGGGCATTGGTTCATATTAGGGGGGGCATAGGGGGCATTGGTTCGTGTTGGGGGGGCACAGGGGGCATTGATGTGTATTGGGGGGGCATTGGTGTGTATTGGGGGACACGGGGGACATTGGTTCGTGTTGAGGGGGGCACGGGGCATTGGTGCATATTGGGGGGGCATTGGTTAGTAGTGGGGGGGGTGCGGGGGGCATTGGTTCATATTGGGGGGAGCGTGGGGGCATTGGTGTGTATGGGGGGGCATTGGTTCATATTGGGTGGATGCGGGGGGCATTGGTTCGTATTTGGGGGAGTGTGGGAGGCATTGGTTCCTTTTGGGGGGGGCACAGGGGGCATTTGTTTGTATTGGGGGGGCGCGGGGGGCATTGGTTTGTATTGGGGGCATTGGTTCATATCGGTTCGTATTGGGGGGGCATTGGTTCGTATTGGGGGTGTATGGGGGGATTGGGAAAAATGTGGCTGTTGGGGGGTCAGGGAATGGGGGGGTTGGAAAGGGGGAGGGTCTTCGGGGGGGCTCAGGGTTGTTGGTGTGGGGGGGGTTTCATAGGGATATTGGGAAAACTGGGGTTCTGTGGGGTCAGGACACGCTGGGATGGAGGGGAGGGGGTCCGTGGGTTGGCACTGACCCCAACTCCGGTTCCACTGAGGACAGGCACCATGGCTCAGGCTGTCACCTGGCTCAAGGTGAGTCCTCATCCCATCTCCTTGCTGGGGGGGGGGGGGGGCTACGAAGGGATACAACCCCCCCCTTTTCCTTCCATTTAACCCCTCCGATCCCAAACCCCAGCGGCTGTGCGGGGCCAGGGAGCCTCCCCAAACCCCAGAGGCCCCACTCAACCCCCCTCGGGAGACGCTGTTCCGACAGGAGGGACCCGGGGGGGTGACGTACCGAATCCCGGCGCTGCTCCACGTGCCTCCCCGCACCCTGCTGGCCTTTGCTGAGAAGCGCTCCTCCATCCGGGATGAGGACGCGCAGCTCCTGGTGCTGCGCCGGGGGCGGTGGAACGGGAGTAAGGTGGAGGTAATGGGGGAAAGGGTGGTTTGTGGGGTCTGGGGGAGGGGGTGGTTTGGGGGATTCAAAGTGGTTTTGGGGTTCGTGGTGGTGATTCGGGGAGGTTGGGTGGTGGGTTTGGCGTTCGGAGTGGTGGTGGGGGGGGTTGGGTGGTGGGTTTAGGGTTTGGGATGGTGGTTTTGGGGTTCAGGGTGGTGGTTTTGGGGTGGTTTAAAGTTGGGGGTGGTGGTTTTGGGGTTCATGGCAATGGTTTTAGGGTTTGGATGGTGGGTTTAGGCTGTGGGATGGTGGTTTTGGGGTTTGGGACCATGGTTTTGGGGGGTTGGATGGTGGTTTTGGTGTTCAGGGTGGTGATACTGGGGTTTGGGTGGTGGGTTTGGGGTTTTGGTGTGGGTTTAAGGTTTGGGATGATGGTTTTGGGGTTCATAGTGGTGATTTTAGAGTTTGAAGTGGCAGTTTTAGGGTTTGGGATGGTGGTTTTGGGGTTTATGGTGGTGGTTTGGGAGGTTGGGTGGTGGTTTTGGCATTCAGAGTGGTGGTGGTGGGGTTTGGGTGGTGGGTTGAGGGTTTGGGATGGTGGGTTTAGGGGGTTGGATGGTGGTTTTGGTGTTCAGGGTGGTGATATTGGGGTTTGGGTGGTGGGTTTGGGGTCTAGGGTGGTAGTTTAGGGGTTTTGAAGTGGCAGTTTTAGGGTTTGGGACGGTGATTTTTGGGTTCATGGTGGTGGTTTGGGGGGTTGGTGGTGGTTTTGGTGTTCAGGGTGGTGGTTTTGGGGTGGTTTAAAGTTGGGGGTGGTGGTTTTGGGGTTCATGGCAATGGTTTTGGAGTTTAGGTGGTGATTTCGGCTCTGGGATGGTGGTTTTGGGGTTTGGGACGGTGGTTTTGGGGGGTTGGATGGTGGTTTTGGTGTTCAGGGTGGTGATACTGGGGTTTGGGTTTGGGGTTTGGGGTTTTGGTGTGGGTTTAAGGTTTGGGATGATGGTTTTGGGGTTCATAGTGGTGATTTTAGAGTTTGAAGTGGCAGTTTTAGGGTTTGGGACGGTGATTTTTGGGTTCATGGTGGTGGTTTGGGGGGTTGGTGGTGGTTTTGGGGTTTATGGTGGTGGTTTTGGGGTGGTTTAAAGTTGGGGGTGGTGGTTTTGGGGTTCATGGCAATGGTTGTGGAGTTGGAGGTGGTGGTTTAGGCTCTGGGATGGTGGTTTTGGGTTTGGGACGGTGGGGGGTTGGATGGTGGTTTTGGTGTTCAGGGTGGTGATACTGGGGTTTGGGTGGTGGGTTTAGGGTTTGAGAGGTGGTTTTGGGGTTCAGGGTGGTGGTTTGGGGGTGGTTTAAAGTTTGGGATGGTGGTTTTGGGGTTCATGGCAATGGTTTTAGGGTTTGGATGGTGGGTTTAGGATTTGGGATGGTGGTTTTGGGGTTCTTGGCAATGGTTTTGGAGTTGGAGGTGGTGGTTTCAGGGTTTGGGTGTTGGGTTTAGGGTCTCGGATGGTGGTTTTGGGGTGGTTTAAAGTCTGGGGTGGTGGTTTTGGGGTTCATGGCAATGGTTTTAGGGTTTGGGTGCTGGGTTTAGGCTCTGGAATGGTGGTTTTGGGGTTCAGGGTGGTGATATTGGGGTTTGGATGGTGGGTTTAGGGTTTGGGGTTTTGGTGTGGGTTTAAGGTTTGGGATGATGGTTTTGGGGTTCATGGCAATGGTTTCAGGGTTTGGATGGTGGGTTTAGGGTTTGGGATGGTGGTTTTGGGGTTCAGGGTGGTGGTTTTGGGGTGGTTTAAAGCTTGGGGTGGTGGTTTTGGGGTTCATGGCAATGGTTTCAGAGTTTGGGTGGTAGGTTTGGGATTTGGGGTGGCGCTGCTGGGCTTCGCAGAGGTGCTTTGGGGGTTTTGGGGGCAGTGGTTTTAGGGCTGACCTTTACTGCTGCCACCAGTGGGGCCCTGCGGAGGAGCTGAGCCAGCTGACCCTCCCTGCCCACCGCACCATGAACCCCTGCCCTCTGTACGATGCCAACAGCGGCACCGTTTTCCTCTTCTGCATCTGCGTGCGGCGCCGCGTCTCCGAGTGGCATCAGATCGTGGTGGGACGCAGCGCGGCGCGGCTCTGCTGCTCCTCCAGCCCGGACGGCGGCCTCACCTGGAGCCCCCTGCGCGATCTCACCCACGAAGCCATCGCCTCCGACCTGCCCTACTGGGCCACTTTCGCCGTGGGGCCGGGCCATGGCGTGCAGCTGGACTCGGGTCGCCTGGCCGTGCCGGCGTACGCTTACTACGTTCACGGCCGGCTCTGCGGTGTCCCGCTGCCCTGCTTCACCCGCCCGCATTCCTTCGTCTTCTACAGCGACGACGGCGGACGGAGCTGGCAGAAAGGTTCCCTGCTGCGGGGCATGAGGACCGGAGAGTGCCAGGTGGCTGAGATCGCTGCCGAGGATGGAGGGAGGCTGCTTTACTGCAGTGCCCGTCGGCCGTGCCGCTGCCGGGCCGTGGCTGTCAGTGCTGACCGTGGGCAGCGGTTCGGCCTCCCGGCGAGGAGCCCGGCGTTGTGCGAACCGCCGCAGGGCTGCCAGGGCAGCGTGGTCAGCTTTGTGCCCAGCACCATTGGGTGTCCTGTAGGCACCACCAAGAGCCCCAGTGGGGACACCCGACGTTGGCTGCTCTGCTCTGACTCAACCAACCAGCGCCTGCGATGCCGTTCAGGCAATGAGAGCCCCAGCAGGGACACCCAGCGTTGTCTGCTCTGTGCCACCAGCCCTGAAAGTCCCAGCAGGGACACCCAACTCTGCTACCATCCAACCAACCTGCAACAACGCTGTGATTTAGGGCTCCACGTCCATACCGCACCGCCTAGTGAGTGTCCTACAGGCACTGCCAGCACTGAGAGCCCCAATGGGGACACCCAGCGTCGGCTGCTCTCCTCCAACCCCACCAACCAGCTCCAGCAATGTGATTTAGGGACCGAGAGCCCCAGTGGGGACACCCAGCGTCGGCTGCTCTGCTCCAACCCCACCAACCAGCTCCAGCAATGTGATTTAGGGACCGAGAGCCCCAGTGGGGACACCCAGCGTCGGCTGCTCTGCTCCAACCCCACCAACCAGCTCCAGCAATGTGATTTAGGGACTGAGAGCCCCAGTGGGGACACCCAGCGTCAGCTGCTCTGCTCCAACCCCACCAACCAGCTCCAGCAATGTGATTTAGGGACCGAGAGCCCCAGTGGGGACACCCAGCGTCGGCTGCTCTGCTCCAACCCCACCAACCAGCTCCAGCAATGTGATTTAGGGACCGAGAGCCCCAATGGGGACACCCAGCGTCAGCTGTTCTGCTCCAACCCCACCAACCAGCTCCAGCAATGTGATTTAGGGACCGAGAGCCCCAGTGGGGACACCCAGCGTTGGCTGCTCTACTCCCACCCCACCAACCGGCGCCACCGTCGCGATTTAGGGCTCTACGTCAATACGGCGCCGCCCAACGAGGGGGGCTGGCGGCACCCAAGGGTGCTGCAGGAGGGACCTTGTGGGTATTCTGACCTGGCCGTGTGCCCCGATGGGGTCTTTGGGTGCCTGTTTGAGTGCGGGGAGGTCAGCGGCTGCGAGGAGATCGCCTTCTGCCTCTTCACATTGGGCACCGCGGGAGGTGGTGAAGGCAGCGAGAGGCCTTGCCTTGGGAAAGAACCCATTTTTGGGGTTTTGTCCCCAAAGAGCAGCGGGGAGAATTCAGAGGAAGATGTGAGGGATGCAAACCCAGCGGTGGAGAAGCAGCGTTGCAAGGCTTTTAATTAAGACTTTCCTGTGAATTGACTGACGCCCGTCGTTGGGTTGGCGATGGTGTAGGAAGGAACTGGGTGTGACAGGACGTGAGGGGACAGCAGCACACTGCAGTGCCCAGATGGAATTAGAAATGGACATTTTAAGGGGGTGGTGGTGGTGGGTCGGGTTTGGACTTGGGGGCTCAGAGATCTTTTCCGACTTCAGTGATCCTGTGATTTTTCAGCTGGGGAAAAGCCAAAATCAGAGATGAGTTACAAGTTCCTGACTCTTATTATGTGCCACCAGAGAATATTTCTCCTTTTTTAGAGTTTTTCCCCTGTTTTTTCCATTGCCTGATGCCTGCTCAGAGCCCAGCTCTGTCTGTCCAACCACAGGGGCAGACAGGCGGTGCCACATCCCCAGGCTGGTGATGGCAGCTCAGCGTGGGCCCACATCCTTGTGCCAGCAGCGAATAAAGCTCCAAAAGGAATCCAAGTGGGTGGCAGAAGGAGGGACGAGGGATGTGAGGGATGGGGGACAGCAAGTGGTGGGGACACGGAGCGATGGGTGTGTGGAGACATAGGGATGTGCAACATGGGGACGTGGGACGTGGAGAGGTGGGTTCTTGGGGTGTGTGGTGATGGAGATGTGGGATGTGGAGTTCAGGAGATGTGGGACACAGTGCTGGGGACATGGGATGTGGAGTGATGGGGATATGGGACAGGAGTTGGAAGGAACGTGGGACATGGCATGAAGTGATGGGGGTTTGGGATGTGGAGGGAAGGGGACGTGGGACAGGGAGTGGTGAGGACGTGGGGTGGATGGGAGACATGGGGCATGGAGGGGAGGGGAATTGGGGTAAGGAGTGACGAGGTTGTGGGACAGAATGGGGATGTGGGACAGAATGGAGATGTGGGACAGAATGGAGATGTGGGACGCAGTGAAGGCAATGTGAGAGCGATTGGAGTTGAAGTGGAACGTGGAGTCATGGGGAGTGAAGGGGACGTGGAGCAACGAGGATGTGGGATATGGAGTGGTGGGGACATGGGGTAATGGGATACAGGACACGAAGGGGACGTGGTGCTCAGAGCTGAAGCAGGGGGGCTCTCTGCAGTGCCCACCCTGTGTCCTGTGCCTGTCCTTGCACCCACAGTGCTCGTACACCTTGGGCATCTGTTCACCCCTGTTGCCACCGTGCTCCTGTTTCTCTTTGCCATTCCTTGAGGAATTCTGTTGGTTCTGGCCCGCTGGAGGCTGTTTTGGGCAAGTGGTCCCAGTGCTGATGTGGGGATGTAGTGGGGTGTCTCCAAACTTACCTCCCTGCCCCTGCTGGGATTGGGGTGAGGATGGCCTAGGGATGTTACAGGACAGAATGGGAACAGCCAGGAGGGGTACAGGGACAATAAGGACCAAGAGGATGGGGACATCAAAAGGGGTTGGGACAGAATGGGGACAGGGAGAGTGAGGATGTGGATGATGGGGACAGGATGGGATGGGGATGCAGAGAATTGGGACAGACAGGAGAGAGACAACCAGGATGGGGATAAGGATGATAAGGAGCAACAGGATGGGAACAGGAAGGATGGGGACAGGATGGGATGGGGACAGGGTAGGATTATTAGAGGAAAGAATGGGGATAGATAGGAGGGAGACAGGGTGGGACAGGATGAGATGGGAACAGAACAGGCTGGGGAGAAGACTGGATGGGAACAGGACAGATGTTGTGGATGATGGATGGAAATGCACAGGACTGGAACAACCAGGATGGGGACAAGAAGGGATAGGGACAGAATGGCATGATTATAGGACAGAATGAGAATGGGCAGGATGGGAAAAGGATGGAAAGGGGGCAGGTTGGGATGAGGACAGGATGGAGTGGGGACTTCCAGGAGCGGGGACAGGAGGATGGAGACAGCCAGGATGGGTGTAGGGATGACAGGGAGCTGCAGAATGGAGACAGGATGGGATGGGGACTGTCAGAAGGGGCAGGGACAGATTTGGGACAGGGAGCAGAATGGGATGCTTAGAGGACAGAATGGGAACAGCCAGGAGGAGGACAGCCAGGATGGGAGCGGGATGGGATGGCGACCATCAGGAGGGGTTGGAGACAGGATGGGAGTAAAATGAGATGGGAATGAGGAAGGATTATTACAGGACAGAACAAGGGCTTGCAGGAGGGGAACGGGAGGATGGAGACAGGCAGGACAGGGACAGGACTGGAAATGTTGCAGGACAGTGTGAGGATGGCTGGGATGGGGACAGGGAGGATGAGGATGGGATGGGATTGATGGGAACAAGGAGGATGGGGACAGGATGGGAGGGGGACAGAGAGGGATGGGACGAAGAGGAGGTGACAGCACAGCTCACTGCAGCACGGGGACAGCCAGGAGGGGCCGCCAAATCCCCACCACCACCACCACCACCACCCTGCAACCCCCCTCATCCCCATCCCATCCTTCCGCTCCCTTCCTTTCTTTCTCCCTCCCTCCATCCCTCCCTACCATTGCGGCCTCCGGGAGGGGGATGCGAGCCGTGGGGGTGCTGGGGCTGGGGGCCCTGCTGGCCTGGCTGCCCCCTGCCCACACCGACACTTTCTCAGCTCTGCGCAGCGTCCGTCAGGCGCGGGGCAATGAGGGGCGGCTGCTGCGGAGGCTCCGTGCGTATCTCCGCGAGGAGAGCGCCCGGCTCCGCCGCCTGAGCAGGTAAGGAACCCCCCGAGCCCAACAGGGGACGCCCCGCAGCCACGCCAGCCCAGCTCCGGGTCGGGGATGGGCTGCTGGAAATGAGGGTTTCAAGAGGAAAAGGAGCAGCCATGGGTGGTACTGGGGGGGGTGGGATGGGAATGGGAACGTGGGGCTGGGGGCTCCGTGGCAGCGAATCAAGATGGGGTTGGAACTGATCCGTAAGATCCCTTCCAACCTAAGCTATTCTTAGGATGGAACTTGGGAATGCTTAATGATGGGAATTTGGGGTTTGGTGGTTGGGGGATGTGGGTCTGATGCAGAGGTGGCGCCACCACCGCAGGTTGTCGGGTGACACTTTGGCTCCAGCAGATCTGCCCCCGTTATAATTTGGGCACGTTGGGCTGCTCGCAGCCCCTCTCCCTGGGCAGTCACCTCCTCACCCGTGCTGCCACCCCATGCAGGTTCTATGAGAAGGTGCGGGCACTGCACCAGGACCCCGGCGCCTCGGTGGACAACCCTTTGTCGGCCTTCAGCCTCATCAAGCGCCTGAGCTCCGACTGGCCCAGCGTCGTCTACAGCAGCGAGGCCACTGAAAACAGCCGTGGTACAGCGGGGATGTGTTGGGACAGCAGAACGATGGGATGGAGGGGACGAGAAGGATGGGATGGAGGGGCAACGGGGAGGATGGGATGGAGGGGACGAGAAGGATGGGATGGAGGGGACAATGGGGAGGATGGGATGGAAGGGACAATGGGGAGGATGGAATAGAAGGGACAATGAGAAGGATGGGATGGAAGGGACAATGGGGAGGATGGAATAGAAGAGACGATGAGAAGGATGGGATGGAAGGGACAATGGGGAGGATGGGATGGAGGGAACGAGAAGGATGGGATGGAGGGGACAATGAGAAGGATGGGATGGAGGGGACGAGAAGGATGGGATGGAGGGGACAACAAGAAGGATGGGATGGAGGGGACGAGAAGGATGGGATGGAGGGGACAATGAGAAGGATGGGATGGAGGGGACAATGGGAGGATGGGATGGAGGGGACAATGAGAAGGATGGGATGGAGGGGACAGTGAGAAGGATGGGATGGAGGGGACAATGAGAAGGATGGGATGGAGGGGACAGTGAGAAGGATGGGATGGAGGGGACAACAAGGATGGGATGGAGGGGACAATGAGAAGGATGGAATAGAAGGGACAATGAGAAGGATGGGATGGAAGGGACAATGGGGAGGATGGAATGGAGGGAACAAGAAGGATGGGATGGAGGGGACAATGAGAAGGATGGGATGGAGGGGACAATGAGAAGGATGGGATGGAGGGAACAATGGGGAGGATGGGATGGAGGGGATAATGAGAAGGATGGGATGGAGGGGACAATAGGGAGGATGGGATGGAGGGGACGAGAAGGATGGGATGGAGGGGACAACAAGAAGGATGGGATGGAGGGGACAGTGGGTTACAGAGGAGGACAGGGGTGCCAAGGAAGCACCACAGAAGACTGACGGAGGCTGGCAGCCTCCAAGCTCCACCAATCACAGCATCATTGAGTTGGAAGCCCCGGCCAAACCCCCCTCCGTCGCCCCATTTCCTCCCCAGCTCTCCACGTCGGATTCCAGGAGTTGCAGAGGGAGCTGCCCGGAGCTGAGGACCTGGACGGGGCGGCGCGGGCGCTGATGCGGCTGCAGGACGTCTACGCGCTCAGCGTCAAGGGCATGGCCAACGGCCTCTTCCAGCCCACCAGCACTGACCGCCCTCCCCTCTACAGCCCTGGTCGGCGCGTCTCACTCTCGGCCGATGACTGCTTCCACGTGGGCAAGGTGAGGGCGATCCCAGCCCCGTGGAGAGTGTCACAGAATAGCTTAGGTTGGAAGGGTTCTTACAGATCACCCAGTTCCAAATCCCGTCTTGTTTTGCTGCCATGGAGCAATGCTGTTTTTCCCTTTGCTCGTGGAGGTGAAGTGGCCCTGCTGAATCAGCCCTGAGGCATCCTGTGGATCTCATCCAAACTGGGGATCTGTGATGGTTCGTGGCTCGGGGGGGGGAGAAGCCAAGCTGATGGTGTCTGGGAGCCCTATGATCCCGTTCTGGAGCCCAACCCATCCCAGTGCTGTTCCAAAGCTTGGTGCTTGGTTTCCCAATCCCAGTATGGGTGAAAAGTGGGCCCCTGGGTGCCTGAGAGGGAATTAGGATGCTTTGATAGAGACTGAGGATTTTCTTCAGGGCAGAGTCCCCACTGCAGAGCCAGGACTGAGTCACAGTGCATGGGATGGGGTAGGGCAGGGTGGGATGGGATGGTTTGGGATGAGATGGAGATAGGGACAAGGATGTAAATGGGATGGGATGGGGAAGGGTGGGGTGGAATAGGATGAGATGGGATGGAAATGAGGTTGAAGAGGTAGATGGGATGGGGTGGGATGGGATGGGATGGGGATGGGATGGGGTGGGATGGGGTAGGATGGGATGGGGTAGGATGGGATGGGATGGGGTAGGATGACATGGCATGAAATGAGGATAGGGATGGAACAGGGACGGGATAGTTGAGATAGGGATTGGGATGGGATGAAGATGGAAATTGGGTGGAGATGGGAGGGGGATGAAGATTGGGATGAGGCTGTATATAGAGATAGGATAGGATGGAGATGGGGATAGAGATGGGATGAGATGGAGTTAGGGGCAGGGATAGGATAAGGGATGAGGATGGAGGTGGAGATGGAATGGGGATGAGATGAAGACATGATGGGGAAATAGGGATCTTGATTGAGATGAAAAAGGGAAACAGGGAATAGGACAGAATGGGGACAACAGTGAGGACAGAACAGAATAGGGATAGGGATAACAAAGTGACTGGATGTGACTAGATGAATTGGGGTGGGATGGGATGGGATGGGGTGGGATGGGATGGGATGGGATGGGATGGGATGGGATGGGGTGGGATTAGCTGCAGTGAGGACGGGAAGGATTGGAACAAAGTAATTTTAGATGATGAAGGGAAGGAATGGGACAGGGAAAAGGCCAGGCTGATCCAGCAGCAGCTCTGAGCACTGCCTGCACTGCCTCGCAGGTGGCCTATGACACAGGTGACTTCTACCACTCCATCATGTGGCTGGAAGAGGCCGTCAGCCGCTTTCGCCTCTCCTACGGCAGCTGGAACCCAGAGGAGGAGCGGGGCAGCCTGGAGGATGCGCTGGACTACCTGGCTTTCTCCTACTTCATGGTATGACCACGGCCCCCAGTGCCCCATGGCCTGACCCCATTCCCAGCACTTGTAGGGCCGAGCCCTGGGCTCATAAGCTCCCTGTTCCATCCAGGCTGGAAACATCTCCCATGCGTTGACTCTCTCCAGGGAGTTTCTCCACTATGGTACGTGGGGTTCAGATGTGGTCCCAGGGAGTTGGGGAGTGCCTCTATCACCTCTCTATGGGCTTGGGGTGAAGCCTTCTCTCTGGTAGATCCCAGCAACCAGAGGGTAACAACGAACGTGGCCAAGTATGAGAAGCTGCTGGCAACACATGGGGACCGTGTGGGGAGACCCCTGCAGCGCCCCAACGTCACCCAGCTGCAGAACCGGGACGCCTACGAGGAGCTGTGCCAGGGCCTGGGGGCACAGGTAGGGCTGGCAATAGGGTACCACAGCCCCCACCTCATCACCGGCCCCATCCGCACGTCCTCTCCATCCCTTCTGTCCCCAGATGGCCCCGGAGCAGCCCTCACACCTTGGCTGCTCCTACGAGACCAACGGCAGCCCCTACCTCCTGCTGCAGCCTGCCAAGAAGGAAACGCTGCGGCTCCAGCCCTACATTGTGCTGTACCACGACTTCGTCAGCGATGCCGAGGCTGAGACCATTAAGGGACTGGCAGGGCCTTGGGTGAGCAGTTGGGTGGGACAGGAATGCAGTCCCCAGTGTTGTCCCCTTGGACCATCCTTGGACCACCCTGACCTGTACAGTGGTGGGTTTGGCTTGGCTCCATCCATGCTGCCATTGAGCCCACCCAGGGTTCTGGGGACAAACTGTGTCCCTTCCCAGCCAGGCTTGGTGGGTTGGTGACACCCAACGACAGTCACTGACACTACCAGTGACACCACATCGTATACTCAGTGTGTTGCTTCCATCACCCCATGGGGACACCATAGAGATGTTTGGCCAATGGCTGCTATAATTACCCCAATGTAGTCCCCAAGGTGGGGCCCCTGCTTTGGCTTTGGGGCCTCCAGAGGGTGGCCCTGTCTTCAGCAATGTCCCTTCCTCATGTCCCCTACAGCTGCAGAGATCCGTGGTCGCCTCTGGAGAGAAGCAGCAGAAAGTGGAGTATCGGATAAGCAAGAGGTAGGAGCCACTACTGGGGCCAACGTGTCCCCATTGCCACAAGTCCCCAGTCTGCTCTCTAAGTCAACGGAGAGATGAGGTTGGCTGTCCCCATTTGTTCCTAAAGTCAATGGGGGCTGCGGTTGGGTGTCCCCATTTGTTCCCAAAGTCAATGGGGCTGAGGTTGGGTGTCCCCATTTGTTCCCAAAGTCAATGGGGCTGAGGTTGAGTGTCCCCATTTGTTCCCAAAGTCACTGGGGGCTGCGGTTGGGTGTCCCCATTTTCTCCCAAAGTCAATGGGGGCTAAGGTTGGGTGTCCCCATTTGTTCCCAAAATCACTGGGGGCTGAGGTTGGGTGTTCCCATTTGCTCCCAAATGAAGTCATTGAGGGGCTGAGGTTGGGTGTCCCCATTTGCTCCCAAATGAAGTCATTGAGGGGCTGAGGTTGGGTGTCCCCATTTGTTCCCAAATGAAGTCATTGAGGGGCTGAGGTTGGGTGTCCCCATTTGTTCCCAAAGTTAATGGGGAGCTGAGGTTGGGTGCCCCCATTTTCTCCCAAATGAAGTCATTGAGGGGCTGAGGTTGGGTGTCCCCATTTGTTCCCAAAGTCAATGGGGCTGAGGTTGGGTGTCCCCATTTGTTCCCAAAGTCATTGAGGGGCTGAGGTTGGGTGTCCCCATTTGTTCCCAAAGTCAATGGGGCTGAGGTTGGGTGTCCCCATTTGTTCCCAAAGTCAATGGGAGCTGAGGTTGGGTGTCCCCATTTGTTCCCAAATGAAGTCAGTGAGGGGCTGAGGTTGAGCTTCCCCACAGTGCCTGGCTGAAGGACACAGCTGACCCAGTGGTGCGGGCACTGGAGCTGCGCATGGCGGCCATCACGGGCCTGGACCTGCGGCCACCCTACGCTGAGTACCTGCAGGTGGTCAACTATGGTCTGGGCGGCCACTACGAGCCCCACTTCGACCACGCCACGGTCAGAAGAGTCTGGAGGGTCCTGGGGTGGTCACTGGGTTGTCCTGTGGGTGCTCCTGGGATGGTCATTGAGATGGTCCTTGGGTGTACTTGGGATGGCCAGCAAGATAGACTCTGGGTGCTCCTAGAATGGTGATCAGAACGGTCCTGAGACAGTCACCAGGATGGTCTTGGATTGTCCTATGGGTGCTCCTGGGATGGTGCAGTGGGAGGGAGGTTCCTGGGGTGTCCTGTGAGATGGAGCCAGGAGGGGGCTGGAGGAAGGAGAGGAGGAAAGAGGGAGGAAGGGATTTTCCTTGCAGCAGCTCAGAGCCATGAGGTCCATTAGGGTAAGAGGTGTCTCCCAGCAGCGCCCACACAGACTGACCATTTCCACTTCCTTGCTTTTGGGGCAGTCCAGGAAGAGCCCCCTTTACAGAATGAAGTCAGGCAACAGGATCGCCACGGTCATGATCTACGTGAGTCCCCATGTTGGTCTGTTTTTGCATCTGTGTGGACATCAGTAGGGTTCAGAGTGAACGTGAGAGAGGGGTGAGGGCAGCTCTAAATCACACAGCTATGGCACTAAAAGTAGATGGCTATGGTGATATATAGTGTTGGCTGAGGATTTCAGAGCTTGTGCAATGCCACAGCAAGGAAAGCATGGGGGATGGAACCGGGGGAGGTTTTGTGCCTTGGAAAGCAGTTGTATCCCACAGGGCAGGAGGAGGATGAGGGCCGTGACTCACATTTCTTTTTCTCCTTTTCCAGCTGAGTGCAGTAGAGGCAGGTGGCTCCACTGCCTTCATCTATGCCAACTTCAGCGTGCCAGTGGTTAAGGTGAGGGGAACCTGCACAAGATCATCCCAAGAGTGGGGAACAGGGGGGGGGGACACAGCTCTCCCATTTCTTATCTCTTACAGAGAGTCACAGCTCAGCCCATCCCAACACCAAATCCCAACCTGCGGCTCCCTGATGTTTTGGAGTGCCAAAGGCCAGCCCTGGAGCTCCTGGCTCCATTCTAGGGGTTCCAAATCCAGTCTTTGGGCCTTTCAGCTTTCTCTTAGGAGTGTCAAACCCCAACCCCCTAACTCCCAGATCTGGGCTATGTATACTGCCCTTGTTTTGGGGTGCTGATCCTTAACCTTGAAGCTCCTACCCATGTCTTGGGATGACAATCCAACCTCAAGGCTCTCAGCTCTGTTTTGCCAAACCGCAGCCCTGAGAGCCCAGCTGTTGGAATCCTGGCTTAGTTTTGGGGTGTAAAATCCCAATGCTGGAGCTCCCAGCTCTGTTTGAGGGGTGCCAAAGCCCTGGGATGTGTCTTTATTCTGCTCTGCAGAACGCAGCCCTGTTCTGGTGGAACCTGCGAAGGAATGGTGACGGTGACGGGGACACCCTACACGCTGGATGCCCCGTGCTGGCTGGGGACAAATGGGGTGAGTGGCAGCACCCGGTGTCACCCCAGGGTGATTTGGGGTCAGAGGGACAGCAGGGAGGCCACCCACATGAGGTTGGCATAGGGGACAGAGACACATGGGGCCCTTGTCCCTTCCAGTGGCAAACAAGTGGATCCATGAGTATGGGCAGGAGTTTCGGCGGCCGTGCAGCCGGGATCCCCGGGACTGAGCCACCAGCTGGGCTCAAGGATGCAGCTCCTGACCTGGCTGCTGTCGTTGTCACCACGGCAGTGAAAAGCCTCCCCAGCACAGCGCAGCTCCACTGGGGTTCATCCATGAGGAGAAGAGGGTGCTGCAGGGGGAGGAGGTGCTTTGTTGAGCTGTGGCTTCCCTCTGGGAAATCTGTTGAAAATAAAATCGAAGGAGACTCAACTGGAGGCTGGGAGAAATACTTTGGTGTGGCATTAAGGTTTACTGGGAGAGCGGGGGGGAGTGGATGGTACCAAACCCACACATGTTCCATAGCTTGGATCCTAAACAGAGCCTCTGTCCCATCTCAAGAGTAGCAGTGAGAGCTATGGCACTCCTACAGCCATCAGTATGCACCGGAGTGACCAAAGCAGCCACACGGACCAGAGCAAAGCCAACACTACCCTTACACAAAAAACAACCTGCTGTGGGGTCTGGATGCATCTCAAACCTGGCTGTGCAACCTCACGCTCCACTCTGGTGCAACAGCAGAGAACAGCACAGCCCCTTGTCCTCCGCCAGCATCGCACGATGAATCTTTTTTGCAGAGCTGCTGCTGTAAGAGGGACCTTGGTGCTGGAGCTCAGAGTGCAGCAAAGCCAGCACAGGGGCTGTTGCCTTCCAGCCTCCCTGGCCCCCAGCCCATGCGCAGCCCCATTTCCCCAGGGCACTGCAGACAAGCTCCTTTTCTCTATCCAACCACAGTGCTGGCGTGACTGGAAGGCAAAGGAGGGCAGCCGGGCTCCCCAGCAGCACCTGGTAATCAGGCAGGGCCCCGGTACCACTTGTTTGCTCTGTGCACTTCAGATAGGGTGACAGGAGCAGCAGAGCAGGCAATGCAGAATGGCTGGGGTTGGGGTCGGCCCCTGCACGCTCTCAGCCTGCAAAGAAACTCCCTGATTTTAAGGGAAGAGGTTGAAGAGCTTCCCAAGCACCTGGGCTCTGCTCTGCCTCCTCGTACATAAAAACCTACAGAGCTTCAGCCCACACTGCCCTGAATTCCTGCAACCGAAGCATTCAGGGTGTTAAAAAACACATGGTCCAACACAGCACAGGTTACTGAACAGCCAAAGCACCACGTTTTATTACTTTCAGATGTTTCTGTACATGTGGGAGCAATCAGTGGTGAAGGGGAGGGGAAAAACACAGGCTGTGGCTCCAGCATTCCCTCCTCCTCCCCACATTGGAGCACAGAGAAGGGATGTGGGGACGTTTCCGAGGATGAGACACTTCCATGAGTCACCAGAAAAACCCAACGCAGCCCTCACCGCTGTGACAGCCCCAGAACAGTCAGATCTCCCCCTTCCCAGCAAACAGAGGAATTCCTAACCCAGGCTTTGCACAACTGCTTTATTTGGAGGCGAGAGCAACGGACACCAAACAAGGTACCAGCAGGACGAGGCTGACACAGGACACAGCAGTCTCCAGAGGACTGACAGACACAAACACATTTTCCTTTTGGAAACAACAGCAAAAGATACGAGGTCACCTGAGAGCAACACCCTGTCAGGCTGGAAACCCAACCGGCCCAGCATCCAACAGCAAAGCATGCAGTAAAAAACCTAAGCACAGCCCTACAGGTTTCAGCTGCTTTGCAGACGTGGTGCCAAGTTTATGTGGAAATGCAACCGGGGGCTTGGCTGGCAAACTGGTTTTTGACCTTACCCAGAAGATCCAGGTGTAGATTTTCAGGTGTGTGAAGCACCAGTTTAAACCCACCGACTCGCCAGACATCTCCCATTCACACTGAAGACAAAAGGCAATATGGAGAGGAAGAGAAACTGTGCAGATCGAGATAATGTGGGCTCTCCTCCTCCTGTATCTGCGTGGTGCTGGAGCAGAAAGCCAGCAAGGGGCTGTGCCCTGCTGCCATTGCTCAGCCCTGCCCTGTAGAAACAGGAAAAGCCAGAAGGTTCACTCTGAAAGGTGGGAAGCAGGGCTGGAAGTCAGGAGACACAGCCCCTTCCTCTGCCAAAAGATAAACCTCACCCACAGCTACCATCTCCAAAATGCACAGATTGCAGGGGAGGAAACCCAGTCAGGTCTGGGGGTCTGACAGCTCCAAGCACAGCCCACAGACCTCTCTGCACTTTCACTCCTTACCACCCGTGCTCATTTCTTGAGAGCACGTCTCAGCTGCTCACAACCTGACATCCAGCTGCAACAGCCATCAATATTTTCAGCTGGCTTTGGTGGAATCTCCCACCTGCTTCGCTTCTGAAGGTGTCCCACAAGGGCGGGCTGAACAAGAGACAAGAAAAGGTTGCAAAGAAAAGCAAAACTCCAAGCAGCAACGTGATACAGCAACCATTTCAACACAGTCTGATGTTTCACCTCTGGATTAATGCTGTTTTTGAGATGCCAGCTTGGAGGAGCAGCCATTCAGACTCACACACTGCAGCCATCCACCCAGGCTCTGTGTTCAGAGCAGAACCTCACGCTTTGGCCACACTGGGAAGATTTCTTTCCAGCAGTCACAGTGCTCCTGTAAGCTACAAATGGCTGAGGGCTCTGTGTGATGCACGCAGCCCCAGAGCTGGCAGAACCTGTGCAGGCTCCAAGCTGAAGTCAGCCCTTATACAGAGATCAGACCACAATCTGCTCCTGCCAAGCCTCGGGGTTTTCCATTGTGAAAGCTTCCACGGATCCTCAATCCAACGACTGGAACAAAGGCAAGAGAGATTTCTACATCATCAAACGCTCCTGCTTGAAATCTGCACCCTCACAGCTCAGCCTCCTCCTGTCTGCCTGATTAAGTGCTGAAGGCTGTGAAAGAATGCACTGATCAGACAGCAAAGGAGGGGGAACTTCCTGGGTTTCCCTACTTTTATTCAGTGAAGGGGAACACTTTCCCCTGCAGCTCGTTCTCTGTGCTAACTTTCACCTAAATACCATTTCTCTCTGCTTCTTGCTCCCTCCTCCCAGGAAAAGCAATTGCAGACAGGCAGAAATCCTTCAGACAAAAGCAGACTCTCAAAAATGTTTGCAATTCAGCACAGCAGGAAGGGATTCCCACTCCATCCGCTATTGCTCTCATCCCTGCAGTTCACTTCCCCAAATCCAGCTCTGAGGCAGCCAGGACCCAGAGCCTGGCACGGAGCAATGCCACATTAAATATCCTGCTGAAATATACGTGGGGAGGACTGAGGATGCTGCCAGCCTTCAGGATGCAACAGGAAAAAGGCAGATGTAGCATCTCGGTTACTGAGGGTCCATTTAATCCACCAGGAACTACAGCTGGGCTGGATGTTACACCACGGTCACAACGCAATAGTGAACAGAAAGAGGAATGTCAGGAGCCAGCAATTCTCTATTTACACTGAGTGCCAACGGTGTGGCAATGAGCAGAGCCCTCTGCAATTTGGCTTTCTTGCCTCTGGTTCATGCATTTCCCACCCTGATGCTTTGGGCACAGCACAAGGCCACAACTCACGTGTGAAGGAATGAGATGAGGAGCAGCTCTCCATCACAGGGAATCTCCACGTTTACCAGCTCTTCACACCGCTTCCCTTTGCCCCACCTGCACCTCAAACACACCAGAAGTTCAGGATGGCTCTGGAGAACTGCTGCCCATCACAACTCCCAGGATCAAGCCAGGAACAGAACTATGCCTCAGCAAAACAGCATTAAATACTGCCTCCATCATACAGCACAAAGGGGTTCTGAACACGAGGCAAATGGAATAAGATTTCAGACAACCACCAGCAGCACGCTGAGAAAAACTGCTCCAATAGGTGCCAGCTCTTATGCTCCAGAGTGATTCTTAGGAGAGGTGAAAGCAATCTGACCCACTGCCTGCAGGTAATTAACCCTGAAGAAGCATTCTCCCATGGGACTGCAGATTTGTGTGGAAATACGGCAGGCAGGCAGCGAGATGATTTAGGAAGTGACACTGAAAACAAGGTGAATCCTGTGGTACTGGGGAATCAGCTGCCTGCACCTCTGCATCAGCATCAGCAGGATTGACTCCAAGCTCTTCCAGGAATTTATCTGCTGCTCTTCTTGCATCTTTTTCACCCCAACGATGCTGATCTCTGCTCAGTCATGTGTGGCAGCTACACAGAGGGAAGCATAAACACATTCCAGAGGCAGAAAAGGGCCAAATAGGCAAACTGCCTGTAATTCAGGCTATTTTTCCTCAGTGAGAGCTTGAAACAAATGTTAAGAAAGCTGCAAGATTCTGAAATGGAGCTCACGATCCCCAGATTCCCACCCTTGCCTTTTTGTTTTACCCTCTGGTCCAAATTTGCACAAGAAAGCAGCATCAGCTTCCTGCCACAGCTTGATCCATAAGGCTGGCGAGATGGAACTTGAGCTTCTAATGAAGCTGATTCCCTCACTGCTTTAGGGGGGAAAAAATAAATGAATATATAAGAAAAACAAAACAAAACCCAAAGCTAAGGGGCACTTTGAAGACGATCAGATGATTCCACGGAGAAATCCTGAAGCCTTTGGAAATGCTGCAGTGACTTTGCTGGCTCTGGATTGTCAACAACCCTTCTGCAGTTGGGTCCAAGAAACCATGGAGGTCGATGGAGGCTTGGGGTTTCAGGTCTTTGCTTATGGCAGCAGAGAGGAGCCCACTTCTGAGGGTCTGAAGAGCTTTTCATGGTCTTCAACACAAGCTGCTTCCCAGCAAGGAAGTCCCTAAGCATGGACACGTCTGGAGAACTGTTCTAAGGGACGATGAACCTCACACCAACTTCTCAACTGCTGCTGAACTGGAGAGATGAACAGATATGGGGTACATCACAGTGGCCTCTGGTGCAGTTTATTTACAATACGACTCGGTGCTGGAGATAGCAGGGTATTAACAAGCAGGAAACACACTGGGAAGGAAAAAGGTCACATTAAAATCAAGGTATTCTCTGCAGATGTTTGGCTCTGCTTCTTTTCCCTCTCATCACTCATACATCACTTCCTTCCACTGAATTTAAAACATGCAGCCCACAGAATCACAGAATCACCCGGGTTGGAAGGGACCTCAAGGATCATGCAGTTCCAACCCCCCTGCCCAGCAGGGCCACCAAACATCCACATTCAGATCAGGTTGCCCAGGACCCCGTCCAACCTGGCCTTGAACACGGCCAAGGACATTCCTACATTTCTGCTGTTTCATCCCCAAAGGCACAGGACAAAGGGGAAAGGAGAGATCACTCAGCAACACCCCTTTAGTATCACCAGTCTCACAGCATTGTACATGTTGGAATTTATAGCTTCTGTTGAAGAATTCTCAGCTATAAAGCAAGAGAATTTCTCAGGGCTGCTCACTGACACATGACAGACGGCCTTGAGGCTGATTAGTACCATTAGTGAGCGTGGTCTGAGCACTGGTTTAGTCGTTGCCTTTATGATGCTGTACCCTCAGGAGGCTTTCCAAGCAACCTTATCAGTGACAACCTACTCTCATTGCCATATAGAGACCTGGCTCCTACAGGTGAGTTCAATACACCTGGGGTCAGCAGACAAAGCCTGCACAACGAAGCACAGAGCTCTACCTGTCTGATTTGAGCAGCATTCCCTGGCCAAAGCAGCGTGGTACGAGTTGCTGTCAAGGCACAGGGCCTTGATTACTTAAATAAAAACCTGCTTAAACCAAATACCACAAAGCTTGTAATTCTGCCTTCTGGCAGGCTATAGAGAAAGCAACCAGCAAAGTGAGATCTGCCTCACTCCTTCCCTCCAAGGAAGAAGGCTTCATTAACACGAGACAGTACGTGAAAAGCTGACAGGGAACACAAACATCAAATAATTCCTGGCTGTGATGCCAAGCTGTTTGTTTATATGTGGTTTCTGCATTATGCTGGAACTCCCAGCTACCTCCCACACCGAAAGCCACAAGCACACAGGGAGAGCAAGGACTGTGCTCACAGACTGCCCAGCTGCAGCCCTCACAGAGCCTTACCACTGGAATCCACCGATGGGCTCTGTAAACCTGTGACGGATCAGGAACGTCGCAACAGCTTCAGCAACCTGGAGGAAGGAAAACCAGGTGAGAACTTAAAGGGAGGTGAAGACAACCAGAAATCCAGAGAGCCTTCAGAGGATGCAGCAGTTCCAGCTACAGTATGTGCCCTTGGGTCTTCTTGCTGAATGAAGTCTGCTGCTTTAAGATGAAGACTTCTGTCCCACAGGCTCAAGTCTAAAAGGAGACTTAAGCAAGTGTAGAGTCTTGCATCTAGGGAGGAATAATGGCATGCACCAGTACAGGTTGGGGGATGAGCTGCTGGAGGGGAGCTCTGCGGAGAGGGACCTGGGGAGCGACAGGTTGCCATGAGCCAGCAGTGTGCCCTTGTGGCCAAGAGGGCCAATGGCATCCTGGGGTGCATTAAAAAGAGCATGGCCAGCAGGTCGAGGGAGGCGATCCTCCCCCTCTGCTCTGCCCTGCTGAGGCCTCATCTGGAGCACTGCGTCCAGTTCTGGGCTCCCCAGCACAAAACAGACAGGGATCTCTTGGGAAGAGTCCAGCGGAGGGCCACCAAGATGTGAGGGGCCTGGAGCATCTCTGCTATGAGGAAAGGCTGAGGGAGCTGGGTCTGTTCAGCATGGAGAAAAGAAGGCTGAGAGGGGACCTGATCCAGGTCTATCAGCATCTGAGGTGTGGGGGGCAGAATGGCGAGGATGGACTCTGTTCAGTGGGGAGTGGAGACAGGACAAGGGGAAACGGCTGGAAACTGCAGCATAGGAAGTTGTGCAGCAATGTGCGAAGGAACGGCTGTGCAGTGAAGTGACGGAGCACTGGAACAGGCTGCAGGGAGGTGGTGGAGTCTCCTGCTCTGGAGATGTTCAAGACCTGCCTGGATGCCGACCTGTGCGACCTGCTGTAGGGAACCTGCTTTGGCAGGGGGTTGGACCTGATGATCTCTGGAGGTCCCTTCCAACCCCTACAATTCTGTGATGCTGTGAGACACATGCTTGCACCTTTGCACTGACCACACAGCCAAGAAGTTTTTTCACCACCTCTTCCAGTAATTTCTTAAATTTAGCATGCAAAAAGAAAGGTTAGGTGAAACCATTACGCATGTTATTTCTAAGAATAAATCAAGACAGCATTCTGGCACTGATCACACCACTTAGAAGCCATGTTGAAAAGCACAGCAGCATTCAGGTGAAAGCCACTCCTTCAGATTGGTAAAGGGAAGCACTGGCAGGCTGAGTTTTGCACTCATGGTGCAGAACAAGCTTTAAAACCAGTCCTGTTCCCAAGCACAGGCTCCAGTGACACATCAGCCCTCCTGTCAGGACACAAACTGCAGCAATACACAGCAGTCACTCTGCTTCCTCAGTCTGCAAACCGTTTCAATAGCATTTGTTTCATACTTGGAAAACTTGAGCCACCCAACTCAGCACAACACAGATGAGCTCCAAATGCTGTGGTTTAGTGCTAGGAAGAGTGAAAAGCTTCTAGAGGGAGGGTAGGAGGTTAAAGGGAACCACACTCCATATGGTAACAGTTAGTCCCACCAGCACCAGCTTGAGAATTAAGCCTATAGCCAAGCTCTGTATCTCATCTAACATCTCAACTCAGGCTTTCCAGTCAGCTTAAAAATATGATGAAATCCAAGCTGCTTTGCAAAAAAACCAGTGATGGTATCATGTCCAAAAGGCTGTCGTGGTGCAAAACTGTGCTTCATAGCAAGCAATGGCCCCTGTTGTGTTTAAGCAGTGGAGACCACGATGAACGCAGCTTCACCCCCAGGCAGAGCTCACCTTGTCTGGAGCATCTTCATGGACTGCATGGCCACACTGTGGAAGGACTTGCATCTGAAACTTCCCTGCAGATTAAGAGAGTCATCACTTTTTAAGCAGTCCTGCTTCCTGAACAGCAGTAGCTTAGGGAAGCAGTTCTCACCTACGCAGGAAACAACAGAACCTGGAACCTTTAAAGCACTGTGCATTTATGAACTCTTCTAAGGAGGCTCTTGCATTCTTCACAAACCTCACTATGCCTCACTGATAGCAGGAAAAAGAGCCTGAAGGGTGAGGGAGGGGATCCTCCCCCTCTGCTCTGCCCTGTGAGGCCACTTCAGCATAAGGCAGCAGGATAAACGTTGTATTACTTTCCAGTACCAAATGCCTTGCAAACCCATGAAACTGGGAGCAGAAGGAAAAAAAAAAAGGCATGCATGGAGATGCAGAATCTTTATCTGATAGAAACATCCAGAGGCCAAACAGTTTTGGATGGTCTCAAGTGTTCTAAGCTAGGAACATCACTAGAACAGGAGAAAAAAAACATTAAAAAGAAAGCCTTGCAGAACATCACCTTGAATCCCTCAAAAGAAGGTGGCAGCCCCACTGCTGGAAACATCAGTCAGCAGGCTGAACAAAAACCATGGAGAAAGCTCATCACAACTTCTCATTTAATCACTCCCTTCTCAATTTCTCCACCTTTCCTATCACCTCACACAGGCCAATAGTTTTGGATTGACATTCGCTTTGAAATAGACTGCATCTCTAAGAGGCTACTCCCCCCATATCTTTGTTCATGTACCCACAGCAACAAGTTGCCAGCCAAAAAGAGCATTAAGGTATCAGAATTAAATATTTACCTTGCATCTGTCCAATGGTCAGATCTTTATCCAGCCTGTCAACACCTACAATCAAACAAACAGAAGTACTGGAGAAATTCCAGAAAGAATGTAACTAAGCAGAGCTTTACCAGGCATTATGAAAGAGAAATTTTGGCCCCAAAAGAAAGTGAGCCAAACATCACCTTTGACAACCATTAGAACATTTCACAGCTGCACCTCATGATGGTAAATTGACAGGAAAGAATCTCTGCCTAAAAGGTAAGAACACATCTTTGCCACAGCTTAGAAGCTCGTAGAATCACAGAACGGCCTGGGTGGAAAAGGAGCACAGTGCTCATCCAGTTTCAATCCTCTGCTGTGTGCAGGGTCACCAACCAGCAGCCCAGGCTGCTCCAGGCTTTTATCTTCACCAGAGCACAAGAAGGGCCTACAGCTGGCTGCAGAACATCCATGATTTCAGAGGAAAGTCACACCTACATCTGTAGGAAAGTGTCAAAGTACTGGAGGCTGAAGGGCAGCTTAGATCTTGTTGGCTCCTCTTTGCTTTATACAACAAAAGCAAGCATTTAACGCCGTAAAATCCAGTACATCATTTTGTGCCATCTTGATCCTAGAGGCTCTGACCTAATTCCAAACATGCAAGGCTCAAACTGGCTGCTTTATGATACATGATACAGCCAGAGTGGAAGAAATGGGTGCTTTCTGAGAGAAAGACTTGAGCCAAACGCTGACCTTATTTTCTCAAACACAACTGGGACACCACTGCAGTGAGCTGCTGCTGAATTTAAACCAGATACGTACCAGCTAAAAGCAAGAGCTTTGGAGTTGGACAGCTTAGGAAGAGGTTAGATAAGCCCCTGAACCATCCATCCCAGTACTTCTCTGTTTTCGCCAGCTCAATTCGCCACGTGTATAAGTGCTCCTTCTTTGTCTGCAGGGAGGAAAGAGAGCTCTGCATTAGTGATCAGTGGAACAGCTCACGTAAAATGAACTCCATATGGAAGCATGTAAAAATGCTGGCTCCCTCTGGTGGATTGCACGCTCTCAGCAGACAGTTTTTGCTCCTTGTTTTCTGTTCCAAATCACAACCAAAGCGTGCAAATAAGGAGTGAGAAGGTCAGCAGGAGCTACACCTATAGATTGAAAGACGATTGCATTTTTCAGGGCATTTAGTTTTCTGCTTTTTGTTGGCACTAATAGTTTGTGCACTGTCTGAAAAACAACGGGATAAATCAGCTGTAATGATTTTGGAATCAGAATCATACAACCATAGAAAGGCCTGGGTTGCAGAGGAGCTCAATGCTCATCCAGCTCCAAGCCCTGCTGTGTTCAGGTCCCCAAGCAGCAGCCCAGGCTGCCCAGAGCCACATCCAGCCTGGCCTTGAATGCCTGCAGGGATGGGGCATCCACAGCCTCCTTGGGCAACCTGTGCCACTGCCTCACCACCCTCTGCCTCCAAAACTTCCTCCTCACATCCAACCCAAACCTCCCCTGTCTCACTTTCAAGCCATTCCCCTTGTCCTGTCACCACCCACCCTCACACACAGCCGTTTCCCCTCCTGTTTATCCGCTCCCTTCCAGCACTGGAGGCCACCATGAGGTTTCCCTGCAGCCTTCTCTTCTCCAAGCTCAACAAGCCCAGTTCCCTCAACCTTTCCTCATAGGAGAGCTGCTCCAGCCCTCTGCTCATCTTGTTGCCCTCCTCTGTCTTTCTTGTACATAGAGAATCTGCAGCATAGGAAGTTCTGCACCAATGTGTGCAACAAATTCTGTGCAGTGAGGTGAGGAGCACTGGAACAGGCTGCAGGGAGGTGGTGGAGTCTCCTGCTCTGGAGATGTTCAAGACCTGCCTGGATGCCGACCTGTGCGACCTGCTGTAGGGAACCTGCTTTGGCAGGGGGTTGGACCTGATGATCTCTGGAGGTCCCTTCCAACCCCTACAATTCTGTGATTCTGTGATCTCCCTTGAGGAATTTACATTCTTAGGCTGCAATTGATTGTACAACCTCCCAAATGCTGACGGGTCTTTGAAATAAGCAAAAGCACCACACAGGCTCAGTACAGAGCACTCCTCATTCACAAAAGCTCCATTTCGGGTCGTGTGCATTCAGAACACCTGAGGAAAGAAAAACCAAAAACCGAGTGACAACCCGTGATGGAATCAATGAGAGGAGGCCAAGAAGAAAAACGAAAGTCCCGATATAAAGCTTCCACTAGAGTTGCTCTCATTTATATCAGAATCCTTTGGATAACCATGGGCCAGGGAAGTGCCATGCAAAATATGCTGAAACACAGCAAGAAATTCCCTACCTCAATGTCATCTTCCTTCTTCCTTTTGTTGACAGAGACTCCGCCTTCATCATCTTCATCCTCCTCCTCCTCTTCTTCAATAATGCCCTCCACGATGGCTTTAGGACCTTCAGGACTTGCAGCTCCTTCACACCTGTGAAAAGAAAAGCAAAAACTGATTCCCTTTCCAAAACCAGAAAGTTGCTGAGCTAAAAGCAGTCAGCTATTTCTCAAACACAGGATAGGAAAAATTCCCCCCCCAAGTATAAAAGCAGCTGTAGATGAAAGCAGCACATGCATCCCAGTGCAAACATCAGTGCAAACAGGTACTTAAGAGGCAGCAATGATCAAACAAGCAACAACAGCTCTTCTTAGCAACACATGTGGAGACCTTTGTAAAGGTTTCAGATACACCAAGGATCAGAGTAGCACAAGCAGATCATGTTGGCCCCCCAAACTCACCTGGGACCACTCCTGAAATACAGATTTAAACCATTTCTAAAATGCCAGAAGGCAAACCCAATTTAGGCCAACATTTCTGAGGAGACATTAGACAAGCCCTTATGTCCTCAATGTGGGCAGAAAGGAAGGCAAAACAAAGAGCACACAATCAGCAGTGGTTAATTTATTATTTCTTTTAAATGCAGCTCTTTGTGGATTCTGCCCTACTGAAATTCTGGGCAGGTTTTCTCCAGGTGCCACAACTACAATTCAGCTGTGGGTATCAGCAGTGATCAAACGAAAAGAAATCTATTTCCTAGAAGAAATTTCCATGTTCAGGGGTATTTATGCTCTGCAGTGAAGGTATTTGTAAAACAGAAGAGAAGATTTTAAGAACTTAAAATCAAAACCAATTAAAACCACACAAAATAACCTACTGTTTGACTTGACCGACCATAGAAACTCTAGCAGATTCCAGATTTCTTATTTGTCCACTTTTTACACTAGAGGAAAAAGGAAGAAAGGCAGATTACTAAGTGATTGGTGACCAGCAGACCTAGAAACAGAAGCAAAACCAGATGATTTTACCCAAACCACCTGTGCTCAGGAGTCATTCAGAATGAGTCACAGACCATCTGCCAGCTAACAGTGATGGCTGGTGATTCAGGTAACTATGAATCTAAAAGACATATAGGAGAAATGCTGGTGGGGAATTGGAGCAGCTCTTGGATGATCCTTCTCCAACACCAAGCCAATTCCCAGGAAATTAATTATCTTTGTAAGCTCTCTTGTCCCATCAAATCAGCCAAGGAATTGCTGACAGAACCACTGAATGGTTGAGGCTGGAAGAGACCTCTGGGGATCACCTGGTGGCTCTGTGCTGGACTCTCTCCACTATGTCCTAATCTCTCTCATACTGGAGTTGCCCAAACCCAGATCAGCATCCCAGATGTGGCCAAGGCTGAAGAGAGGGGAAGGTTCACCTCTCCTGAACTGCTGCTGACACTTGGCCTAACGCAGCATCTTAGTGACAAGGGCTCATGCTCCACATGCTGTCCACCAGGAGCTTTCCTGCACTCTTTCCAGCTGGGTGCCCCCAGCACAGCCTCTTCCCCAAAGGCAGGGCTCTGCATTTCTTGCTAAACCCCAGGAGGTTCCTTTCAGCCACCTCTCAGCCTGTCCAGGTCCCTGTGGATGACAGCACAGCCCTCTGGTGAATCAGCCACTCCCCCAGCACTGCATAGCTGGGGATGGGAGAACCAAAGGAAGAATCTGACAGAGTTTGCTTCCTTCAGGATTCAAGCTAAAAAAGCCAAGTGATTTTGTAGATTACATAAGCCCACACATTACCTCCACTCAATTGCATTCTCAAGTGACTTGAATGTTTTGGGACGACTCCTTAAGAAGTTCTGCATGCTGTTCAGTGCATCCATGGCTGTACCTAGCAAGAAATATTTTAATGTGATGACATCTGATGTAATTATTACCATGTTTGCCTACACAGAACTGGCTACCAGGGAACACCTTCAGAGAAAGCTGGGGTTCAGACTGGATTTAATGCAATTAAGGAAAATACAACTTAGCGCACCTAAACCTCCTACCTACTCCCACATTAGAAAATTAACAAGTAGGACATCAGAAAAAGCAGCAACCACTCATCAACAATGCAGTATATACACAAAAAAGCCCCCTCCTTGATAACAAGTGTTGCAGCCAAATTCTGAGAACAACAGCAACCACAGATCCCACCCAGCAGAATCCAAAGGAGACCCACTGGAAGGACTATCTCACACAGGTAACTGCTGCTAGGAGAATAGAACTGGCATATATTGAAGAAATGGCTAAACTCTGTGTGTTCAGGAATTTAGGGGATAAGAATAAACAGATGAGCTTGAAAGAAAGAACCACATCCAAGCACACACAGCCTTACCTTCCACAACATCTATCATGCACAGACCCAGTAAACTCGGCACCAGGTTTGCAACTGCTGTGTGCACTGCAATGGCACCACCCATGCTGTGCCCAATCAGCATGATAGGGGGAGGAAGGTCTCCATACAAAGCTTCAACCACGTTTCCAACGTCTCTGCCAAAAGAAGGTGGTGAAAGAATGGTCAGCATCTCTACCTTGATGTATTTCTGAAGGAAAAATTCAGACCCAAGATAGCTGCCTGGCTCCAAATCCTCTCTTATCTAACTCACACACCACTGGGACAAGTTTCTTGTCATATCACTGTGCAGCTCCACACAGGCAATCATTTAAAGCTGATACTTTCCTGAACAAGCATGCTATTTTTCCTTTTTATAAACAGAAAGGGCTTTATTTATTGTTTTTTCATTCCCAAAGAGAACCTTTCAGATTGGCAACAGTTGGTAGGAGTTTTAAATGGAAGGTGAGAAAAGCCTCGCATTCTTTTGCGTGGAAGCATAGGCTAAAAAAATTCACAGCTCTAAAAGGAGAAACCTTTTGCAATTAAATAGAGAAAAGTAGCCAAGCTCCATGGATGGAGGCAAAGATAAACAACACTGAACACAAGCAAAGGTTCAGACTCTCATTGGAGTACAGACAGCACAAGGCAAGCAGGGATTTCCCCTTCTCTTCCATAGGGCATCTGCTTTAAGCTGAAGCTTTTACTGCTGTATACGAATGCTGGCTGCCACAACTCACCAAAAAAATCCAAATAGCAGCATGGCTAAAGACCAAAGCTAATTGAGGAGCACAGTACTTTGAGGTAGCCTCAGAGGTGCCAAAATGGGCTTTCCTTTCAAAGAACACCGGAGCAAGCTTGCACCTAGTAAACTGTAAGTCAAAAGAAAGGCTGACTGCTCTGTCAAGGAGGACAAAACCAGAGGATTTAATAAAAGATTCAAACTATAATGTAAAGCTCCCATTTAAAGGCTAACAAGGAATAAACTTTAAGCTCACTTCTACGAGGACAGAGAAGTTTAGAAACAAAAGGCAACTTGTTTTCCTCCACATAGTGCTGCTGCAGATCTAAAAAATCCCAGTTACTTCGTACAGCACTTCCTTAGGACAGTGATGTACCAGGATGTGACAAGCTGTAAGCAGCAGCAATAAGGAATACAATGGAAGTCAGAACGCATTTCACACATGGCCTCCCCACGACAAATCCAGTAGATTTGTTCATAGGAAGGTTACAAAGTCCTTCCTGGTTTAATTGTAGTCATAGGAAAGACACCCTTTGTACTCAATGTAGACATAACAAGATTTGCTTAGTAGGAACTGCTTGCTTTTCTGCAGCTTGTGAAGAAGGGGATTTGCATCCCAAAGCAGGTCAGGACAGTCTGTAAAAGCACCCTGATTATGTGAAGCTCACTGGGGAGATGCCTCCAGTTCAATCATAGAATGACAGCATGGCCTGGGTTGCAAAGGAGCTCAATGCTCATCCAGCTCCAAGCCCTGCTGTGTGCAGGTCGCCAAGCAGCAGCCCAGGCTGCCCAGAGCCACATCCAGCCTGGCCTTGAATGCCTGCAGGGATGGGGCATCCACAACTTCCAAGGCAGATACACTCTGACTGCTCAAAAGCAGAAGAACCACCACCAAACCGGTGACTTCAAGCTAAAATGCTTACATCAGTCAAGCCTGAGGAAGGCTTTTTCCCTTCTATTAGGATATCTCCAGTGTTACTGAGCATTGCAGGTTTAAAGTGCTCCCTGCAGTGAAGCTGCTGATCTGTAAAGTGGCTTTACAGCTAAGGGGAGACCTAAAGAATGAGTCCACTGTGAAATACAACTCAGCTGGCAGAGGTATAATTCCAAAGAAATTTTAAAGCTGTCCCAAAACAGAAGGAAAAGAAGCGAAAGCTACCAGAATTATGTGAAATGAAACCACCTTCCAGTTCCCTTGAATGAAGGTTGAGTATCCTCCAATGTTTACTGTTTAATCAAGGAAAGAAAATAGGTATGTGGAAAGTGAAGGAGAGAGGGGAGCACATAAGGAAGTGAAGGGGAGCACATAAGCTTCCTTACTTTGACATTGTCTCCGCAGACAAATCTTCAGGATTCCTAACTTTTGTTTCTCCTGAAAGAACAAAACAAGTTCCTGTAAGCTGAGAACCTTCAGACCTCTGAGGATGTGGAGCAGAAACGTACAAAGCTTTCTGGCACAGTTAGAAAAGACTCCATTTCAGTTATCATGAACAATTAAAGAACCCAGAATTAACCAGAAACTCTTGGTACTTTGTCACATTATGGCTTAGGGGCAGGAACAGTCATGGGAGTGTTTCCATATTAACAGTGTACCTTAGAACTGAACAACACACTTTATTTTGAATGGTAAAGACCTCCTTTAGGTTATGAAAGTATAGAGGAGGGGTCGCTGCCAACATGCAGGAAGAAGGAAGCCCAGCATCACCTTGCACAAAGGCACAGGGAGCTGAGGGTGCTCATATATGGGGTTACACCACTTCACCCATCCCTGCCACTGAATGAAAAAAACAAGGATGCCTTCAGGATAATTTCTCAGTCGTTTTGGGAAGGATTCATTATATCTCCTTTAAAAGGCAAGTCAGCAATGTGCTTATGTGCTATTTAAACTCCTGTATTTATTGTACTTACCATGGCCTCGGAGATCTAAAGCCACAATCCTGCACTGAATCCTGCTGATGATTGCAGACTGCAAGGAAAAAGACAACGTGATTTGCAAAGTGCCACATCTCATCTGCAAAAGGATCAGCATCATCAAGCACAGAGTGGAACAGCAGCAAGGACTGGCATGGTGGGGCAGAACCTCTGCTCCCAACAGCTGAACCTGCAGCTCCCACAAAGAACAGCCCACACGAGCTGCCCTCAGTTGAGCAGAGCTCAAGGATGGAATCCTTCCCACCACTGTTCACATCATCTCTGAGAAGAACACGTATTTTATTGTGCTTTAAGACACCTTGTGTTTCCTAGGAAAGCAAACTCAAGTCCTGTAGCAGTTGAGATGCTGAAGCAATCAATGCTCCCCTTTCTCAAGACACACGTGTTCCAAAATCAGTCCCAGCTACACAGCAGCCATGAAGATGAAGCAGCTGCCTTGCAGCACTTCTTCACTTGGATCTTACAGAATGGAATTTCACAGTGAGGTTGGAATGTACAACATTGATTAGTCCAAAGATGTTGAAGGGGAACAAGAGAGGAATCTTTTTAAAGCAAGGCGATGATGACTCCATTTGTTGCTGACAGCTGCATTTGCATAAGTTATTTCAGGCATGGCAGTGATTAAACAGCCTTCTTTGTTGGAAGGAAGCATTTTGTGTTAAAGAATCATTGATTATTTAAATATCAGCCCTGTAGCAATGGGAGAATTTGTTGAGGGACTGTTAATACAACCACCCACATAAGGGGCAGATCTGAAAGGCAACCAGGCCTCTCGTTTGGTTGCTCAGCTCTTCAACTCCTAAATGAGTGCAGCAGTGCAATCCAAACAGCCACAAGTTCGTATTTCAGACCCCAAAACTCACCCCAAAGCCTCAATTTGCAAGCTGCTTATGCTCCTAAGCAATGACTTAACTCAGCAGATGAGATGCCTTCTGCTAAAGATCAAACCATTGTCATCAGAGAGTGAGGAAAGAGGACCAACAAGGACATGACAGAATGGGAAGCTGTACAGCACCCTAAGTTGTATCCAAACAGAAATATTTTGGGCAAGAGAAGCACAAGCAGATCAGCCAGGAATTTGCCAGGCCAGTAAGCAAAGGAAGAAAGCAGCACTCTGGCTCTGCAGGCTGTTCTTCTATTTATAGGTTGGGGCACTCAGAGCCTCCCAGCTTGAGATTTTCATGTTTGGTTGTTCTTCTGGGTTGAATTTGATAAATATATATAATAATATATAGTAATATATATATATATGTTTGTGTAGTACTTTAAGTTTAATACCTGGCTTAATTGCTTAGGACAGACATTATTTTCAATGCACCCACAGGAAATAATTTAATACCAGCTGCATGAAGGCACAGCTAATTATTGCACCCACTTCCTTCCCCAAAAGCACAGTCAGATTTGTGCTTCTCACCTAGGGAAACCTATGTTACCTTCATCAGCCAGCAGTAACACCAAAAGCCCCAAAAGCACAGTGTTATAATGGCAGTCACTCCCCTAAACCCAACAAGCTTGAGATTTTTTTAAGTGTGAAAATGGTTTGCTACTGAAAATAAGAATTCTAGAGAGGGTGATGGCATCTTGTAGGAAGATGATCAGAAAAACGTGGCTTCATACATCTGCCTCTGGTTAAAGGCAATGGCCTTCAATCCAACTTTCCCAAGGCTCTTGGAAACTGTGACCAAAAACAATCACTTGACCATCCTGGCAACCCATGATCTACATTGATAAGGACAGGATTTAGTAAGAAAGAGGCTTAAGACAAAGTTTCAGCAGTTTCTGCACCAGTCTCTGGCTCAGCTACAGCTGCAGACATAGATGAACTAAGCTAGGTGTCCAACTGCCATTCCGTACCAAAACTGCAGCCCACTTATGAGGCATTTATAGAGGCATTGAGTCTTATGAGGAGTGGCTGAGGGAGCTGGGATTGTTCAGTGTGGAGAAGAGGAGGCTCAGGGGAGACCTCATTGCACTCTACTACTTCCTGAAGGGAGGCTGTGGTGCAAAAGGGTCTGGCCTCTTCTCCCAGGCAAACAGTAAGACCTGAGGAAATGGCCAGAAGTTGTAGCAGAGGAGGTTTAGATTGGATATTAGGAGAAACTTTTTCTCTCAAAGGGTGGTCAGGCACTGCAATGGCTGCCCAGGGAGGTGGTGGAGTCGCCGTCCCTGGTAGTGTTGAAGAGGCACCTGGATGAGGAGCTGTGAGATGTGGTTTAGTGCTGGTGGTACTGAGAGGAATGGGAGGGGGGTTGGACTGGATGATCCTGCAGGTCGTTTCCAACCTTGTGATTCTATGATTCTATGATTTTTTGGATGTCTTGTCATAGCACACAGTGGTTTACCCATGGGTTACACCATAAGGATTATGCAGTAGCAGCAGCCACCTTGGGAATTCGAGAGCAGTTGGTATTAACTCTTGCAAAGAGCTCATCCTTGTTTCATGCCTGACGTAACAGTAGGCACAGAAGAGATACTGGATATGAGGAAAACGTTCTTCTCTGTAAGACTGGTGATGCACAGGCTGCCCAGGGAGGTGGTGGAGTCACACCGTTCCTGGAAGTGCTCCAGAACCATGGAGATGTGGCCATGATTCAGCAGGATGGGTTGTGGTCAGACTCAAGGATCCTAGGTCTTTTCCAACCTCCATGATTCTATCATTCTGACATCCCAAATAGAAATAACAGATACTTTGAGATTTTACTTTACCTGCAATCCTTTAAACTTTCTTCCCTGGCTCTGGTTTTGTTGTTTTTTGCTCATATTTTTTTTTCTTCTATACAAAGGAACAGGTTTAGGGATGGCACTTTGGCTCCATCAGCACACGTGCTTGCTCCTGTTGCTACAACCTCTGTCCATGTTTCAGAGAGCAGCAAACGAGATTCCTTGAACAGGATCTCAACCATGCAAAGTAAAAAGTGTTGTGATGAGATAGGAGTGTTGAAAATTGGAAAGCAGCCTTCCAAAAATAAAAATCCAAGAACAACCCCATGGGAACACTGTGATAGATTTGCCTTAACGCTTCATTAAAACATGCAGGTTATGTGGAAGTCTGGGATGCTGCTGGAAATTAGTGGCCTAGATGATACACCTTTGCATACATTGTCTAATATATATTCAGGTGCATAGCAGGAGATCATAACACTGTTTTCTGCATTAATTTTCCCCCTGTTTAACACAACTGAATGGTTAGCAGCCCTCCATGCTGACAGGACTACATTTGCCTAAGTGTCTATCTCTATAAATCAACAGTTTACTTACAGTAAATACAGCCCAGGAAAGAGCAGAATGGCCTCCACCATGCAACAGCAGCAAGACAGGTCCCTCCAATCCACTTTTGTAAATTCGAAAAGTGTATGAACAGTTAAGGACACTTCATGGTTAGATTTTAGATTCTGCAATCACAGTTGTTTTGTTTCTGTGCTTGAATTCTCAAGGCCTCCTTTCTGCCTCTGTGCAATGGGTTTGTGCAGCATAACCAGGACAGAACTGAGCTTGTTTTAAATTTCAGAGCTCTTTTCCAGTTGTGCAGGACTTCCCCTCCTCTGCAACCTACACATCTCATGCCTAAACCTTTTCTCCTCCTTCTGCAACAACAAAGAGGAAAAACAAACCTTACTAATAGGTGCTACGAAGCACGTAATTTTAATGTGGAGTATTTTCCATTACATTTAAGATGAAAAGTCAGGCAAGCCAGAACACAAGATGTTTTATGGCAACACAGCTACTCTCTGGCATATACATCCATAAAGAAGCTTCACAGTACCCACCTTACCACAACCTGCCAGAAGGAAGCAGCTTCTCTGACCTTCTGTTAAAGGTCACAGGGTAACACAATAAATCCTAAACAACAGATGTGCTTGAACTGAAGGTGCCCATGTCCATCACCTATCCAAACAGGTCCATTACCCTTTGAACTACTTATAAAGCCTCAGGGGTGCGTGTGATGCTTCACAAGGAATGCAGACGTGGTGCACGTCACAAAGAATTCATAGCTGGAATTGGACAAGCAGACTTAATGAGAACATGAAATAATGAATGGGTGAGTAAAACAACAAGAAGAAAATGTTTCACATTTGAGAGCATCACATGCTGTTGGCAAAGGAGAAGTAAGTGACGTGTTATAGGGGTTGGAATAGTTTGGAAATTAGGTTTTCTTAATGGATAGACCAAAGTAGGATGTGTATGCTTAGAAATTATAAAACTACTTAAACTACAGGGTTTGTGTTACTTAAACACAGATAGAACAATCTTCACTTTGCAAAAAGAAGTCCTGGAAGTACCTCTTGTCCTTCTGTCAGAAGTACAGGCAGCTGCAGGACCCCTGGGAAGCCCTATGTCCCACACTATTTTTCAGGGTGCTCCCAGTTAGCACACAGCTGTTGTTGGTGTGTGCAGGAGGCCTGTGAAGGGAAACTCAAGGCCAACTCATGGCCTTTGCCTCCTTTCCAGAGGTACCTAGACAAGTGGGACCAGGTGAACCTCATGAGGTTCAGCAAAACCAAGTGCAAGGTCTTGCATCTGGGTCGAGGCAACTCTTAGTACCAATACAAGCTGGGGGATGAAAGGATTGAGCACAGTCGTGTCAAAAAAGACTTGGGGTACAGGTGGATGGAAGCTGGACATGAGCCAGCACTGTGCCCTCACAGCCCAGAAGGCCAACTGCATCCTGGGCTGCATCTAAAGCAGCACAGCCAGCAAGGTGAGGGAGTGATCCTGTCTCTGCTCAGTGCTGTGAGGCCTCACCTGGAGCACTGCAACCAGATGTGGAGTCCTCAGTGCAGGAGAGACATGGAGCTGCTGGAGAGCATCCAGAGGAGGGCCACAAAAATGATCCAGGGATGGAACAGCTCTCCTATGGGGACAGGCTGAGAGCTGGGCTGTGCAGATGGAGAAGAGAAGGGAAGGCTGCAAGGTGAGCTGAGAGCAGCCTGTCAGTGTCTAAAGGGGAGCAACAGGAAAAAAGGGGACAGGCTCTTCAGGAGGGTCTGCTGGCAGAACAAGGGGAAATGGCTTCAAGCTCAAAAAGGGGAGATTTAGGTTGGATATTAGGAAGAAGTCTGTTACAGTGAGGGTGGTGAGCACTGAACAGGCTGCCCAGAGATGTGGTGGATGCTCCATCCCTGGAGACTTTGCAGGTGAGGCTGGATCAGGCCCTGGGCAACGTGACCTAGTTGTGGTGTCCCTGTGCAGTGCAGGAGAGTTAGGCTAGATGGCCTTCACAGGTCCCTTCCAACTCTTAAGGATTGTATGATTCAAACTGAGCACATCAAGGAGGATTACAGCCACCAGCTGGATTAGTCCATAACAGAAAGACTTACAAAAAGGAGTCAGCTCAAAGAGAAGTAGAAAAGTACTACAAACATTTGGAAAAGGAGCATGGATCTTGGAGAGCAATAACTAAAAACTAGATTGACATTGCTGGACATCTCCCTGCTGGCACCACCACATCTATGTGGACCAGGGAAAGAAGTTTCACTGTCTGCACATCAAATTGAGGTGCAACAAATAGCAACCCACTCTCCCTGGGGACGCATGTATCTTTGTATGGATGTACAGGAACAGAACCTACAAGTTTACTTGCAGAAGGGTCTTTGGAAATCTGTAGGTATTAACTTTGTTTTAGAGTTGAGGCTCATGTATTGTACTGCTGATACTGAATCTGAATGCACAGTTTAATGATTTCCAGTTAACTGTCTTAATAAAACTTAATACAAATCAATAAACATAACTCCTGATATAGTTTCAGCTATGTGAACTAAGGAGTTCTTTGCCTGCAAAGTACCTTACTGAGCAGTTGGAAGTACTTACTGAAATTAGTGATTACTGCTGTAAAAGAATCAATCCCATGAACCTGCCTTGCTGTGTGTCTTGCAATGCTTTGATTGCTGATCCATACAAACAGGGGGAAAAAAAAACCAGAAGGTGAGATAAGAAAAAATACTTGAAAAGCTGAAAGGAACCCCAATGAACTCAACAGACACGTGATGCTGCCAAAGTCACTGAGAACAGAGAAGCCTTAATCTGAATAAAAGGATATATCCTTGCCAGTTTCATTTTCCACCACAACGTCCTCCATAGACTCAAAGTACTGGTTCCAAAGCACTGGGGAGAAGTCACGCTTTCTTCCAGGGCTGAAAGAAAAAACAACTCCAGGTAAGAGGTATCATAATGAGTCTGTGATATGCAAGTGAAATTCCCTTACAATATCATGAATTTTGAAGTCAGTGAGGAAATGTCTTTTTTAATCATGGCTCCTATTGAGGAGATCAGAAGAACGAACGTGAAGACTAATGGAGACAGAATGAGAATACATCACAAAGCAACACCAAGGAAGACCAAGCAATAGCAATTAAGACTACACACACCAACATCGAGGGAAAAGTAAAAAAGGAGCAGGGCAAATATTTAAAGATCCCACCACAGAACCATCTCTCAATTTGCAACAGCTACAGATCACACCCTGCGAAAGTCAGCAGCAGTCTGACTGCATGAAATGGTTCTTCTCTAGTCCTGATGGGAGCAATATGGTGCTGACATGACTGGGAGAGCAGGAAGTCATCCAAAATATGACTCAGCCCATGAATCATAATTAAAATAAAAAAAAAGGAATGCCCTTCTCAGAAGTCACCTTGACACCACGGCTTTGAAATGTAAAGTGTCAGCTATGCTACAGGATGCTACCAATCTAGCATGGGATCTAAGAATGAAGCATCTTATTAAAAGTCAAGTTAGTACTTGTTGGGAGACTTGGGAACTTGCTGGGAACTTTCCCACAAACTCCCTCAAATTTCAGAGGAAATATCATTCAGAGTCAAACTGTCCTAAAAAAGCAGGATCTGTAAAAACCATAGAATGACAGCATGGCCTGGGTTGCAAAGGAGCACAGCGCTCATCCAGCTCCAAGCCCTGCTGTGTGCAGGTCGCCAAGCAGCAGCCCAGGCTGCCCAGAGCCACATCCAGCCTGGCCTTGAATGCCTGCAGGGATGGGGCATCCACAGCCTCCTTGGGCAACCTGTGCCACTGCCTCACCACCCTCTGCCTCCAAAACTTCCTCCTCACATCCAACCCAAACCTCCCCTGTCTCACTTTCAAGCCATTCCCCTTGTCCTGTCACCACCCACCCTCACACACAGCCGTTCCCCCTCCTGTTTATCCGCTCCCTTCCAGCACTGAAGGCCACCATCAGGTCTCCCTGCTGCCTTCTCTTCTCCAAGCTGAGAAAAACTTTTTTAAGTTAAGGACCATAATGACAAGTTTGCACATCAGATGCTGATAAGACTTCCTTGGAAGAATGGGCTTCCAGGCTTCAGCAGACACTTACTCCCAGGTTAATCACAAAATAACCCAAGTTGGAGGGACCCATAAGGAACACCAAGTCCAATACTATATAATTACAATAACTCATGGTGGGGGTGGGTTGTCATTTTCCAACCTTAATGACCTATAATTATGACTGTAAGCCATGACTAGGACTTGCAATGGTGAGATCTGGGGACCGTGGCTACTAAAACAAAGCCTGGGTCTCCCAATAACACATTTCCAAGACGCAAATCACAATCTTTATTCCTCACACAGAGACTCAACCCCTCTTTATAACCAAGACTAATTTCTGCCGCAGTTTGTTGACAAGTACATCACAAAATCCAGCAACAAACGAAGGATACCTGAAATTAGCAGCACTGATTTCAGGCTGCACCCAGCACCTTGGAGATGCAACTCCCCTGAATTATTGGGTGAACACAGAAGATGCTTTCTGTGGACATCACACAACCCAGGACTCTCAAAGGTGCCCAGCTGACGAGCCAATTTATTCTTTGCTTCCATTAAAGGTGCAGCTGTGCCCTCTCCTTGTACCCCCAGCACTAAAGAAAGGCTCTGCAATAAGAATTTCCCCAATGACTCAGTTGATGTGAAATCTGTTTCCTCAGCTCAGTGAATATACCCACTTGCTAAGGCTAAAAGAGTAGTGCTTAATTTTGGCAGTGACATAATCAAGCTAGATTCAAGCCCAGTACACAGGATGAGTAACAGTGCACCATTTTAACAGCCTTTCTGCATTGAAGCTCTTCTGGGGGAGGCAATCAGCACACAATATGGAAATCAGGCTTGGGTGTGGGGGTGAAAGACCTTCACAGAATAAAATCTCTTCTATTGAAGGAAGCTTCCCCTGAATTCTTGGCTTCCTAAAGAAAGAGAAATGAGCACACAAAGCACCTTTTCAGTTCTGTAAAAATAAAACTCTTATTTCCCCATGATATTTCTAGAATAACATAAAACAACCACCCCCTGAATATTCAAAATTCACTTCTGGGGGTTTCCAGACTTCGGTATTCTTCTTGTCAAACTTCAGTTCAATCAGAGATGTCACACACATACACAAGTAAACTCAGAAAATCTCTTCTACTGCCTCAGTTTAATCTCCTTCCAAAACAATACCTAATGATAAACTTCATAAGCAAAGACTTGGCTTGAAACGCAGTCAACTCAGATGATTGATATGAGCTTCAAGGTTGGATAGTAGAGAAAGATTCTCCTCCCAGCAGCAATAATGCACTGGGCACAGCTGCCACCAGGGAGGTGGGGGAGTCACAGCCCCTGGGGGTGGTGAGGAACCACACAGGAGTGGCACTGAAGGATGGGGTCAGTGATGGTGGGGGGGAGCCTTGAGGATCTTGCAGTTCTTTTCCAACTTTAACGATTCAGTGATTCTAAGGTACCTGAGTTCCAATGGTTTATCATGTAGGACTGCAAGAACTGGAGTGATGAGAGAAGGTAAAGCTCCATCCATGCTGTAACGTGGCAGCAAGAGTGCTCTGGAAAGGTTTAAGGAGGGAGCAGGGTATGCCTCCAAATTTTCACCCATCTCCAGAGCCAGAGGCCGCATCCTCAGCACTGTGCTGCACTCATGGAGGACAGATCCCATGAGTTTGGCACATAAAATTCCAGTCACTTCCAGCCAGATCTACTTCCACAGCACCTGTGACAACAGTGCCACAAGTTAATTAGGCTTTCAGCAAAAAAGCAGTACTTTGTTTGCTTTTAATCCCACGCTTTGAGTGTCTTTGCCTGTTCACTACAATATTAATGACTGTACAAACCCCTATCACATTTTTCCTGTTTGACCACGTGCTTTTCCAGCTGAGAGTCTTGCTTTATTCGTTTTCCCCTTGCCTGGATGCCACCCCAGCCCCCATCAAGCTCTCTGGACCATTTCTGCTTCTTGCTGGAGATGGAGCAAACAGCCCACAGCTTGGATAATTTCCCATCTCCTGTTTTTCTATAGCAGTTAACAACAACAAGTTTCATCACCCTTTAAAAATCCCACATTTTGGTGCAGTCAGACTTCCCTACAGCACATTATTGCTGGTTTAAGGTCTGACTGTCCTCAATAATTCGATGTGATGGGCAGATATCCAGGTGGCTATGCTCCTTCCAGTGTGATCCATACGTCTGGTTAACAGCAGGAAGTCCCTGTACCCTTCCCTCCATTGTGAGATGAGAAAGTTTGCAAGTGTTAGTTCCTGGGCTGAACATGAACAATTCCCAAAGCAAGTCTCATTTGGCTAACAGCAAAACACCTCCAAGTTTGCAGAGTAACACACAGGAACTCCATTTACACAAAAACAAAGGGTGTCACCTTCATTTCTGAGGGATGAAGAACAAAGCTGCCCAGGGAGGTGGTGGAATCTCCTTCTCTGGAGATGTTCAAGACCTGCCTGGATGCCTACCTGTGTGACCTGCTGTAGGGAACCTGCTTTGGCAGGGGGGTTGGACTCGATGAGCTCTGGAGGTCCCTTCCAACCCCTACAATTCTGTGAAAGCACAGACCTAACAAGGTGAAGTCCCACACCTGGGAACAAAGAAACTGCATTAACAGGGGCAGATGGTTCTGCAAAGCACCATCTCAGGAAACCTCAGGGATAACCTTCAATCTGGAGCACAGACCATATTATTACTGCACAAGACATGCATGCCAGCATGCCTGGAATAACATACCTGTGGCTGGAATCAATCACTGAGGACAAAATTGAAGAGGATTCCAAGAAATATACAACTAAGATTGGAAAACAAAGCATACAGTAAAAGCCTTATCTGGTTAAACACTATACCAGGAGTGAAGCAGAGCAGAGGACTGGAGAAAGAAGGTAAATACTTTATTTCAATTACTCTTTAGCACATTTGTTCTCCACCTCTCTGAGATCAGATAACCTGGATGTCATTCTCATAACAGTGATGTCATTTTCAGGCCTTTCAGGCTGACCTGATGCATGCATCTCCTCCTGGAACCAGCAGGCCTTCCAGGAGCACCAGCACAGCTGCTGTATGTAGGATCATAAAATCACAGAGTCACTGAGGTTGGAAAAGACCCCTTAAATCCCCAAACCCAATCCCAATCCACCCCACCGTGCCCACTGACCACATCCTTAGTGTCACATCCCCACAGTTCTTGAACACTTCCAGAGATGGCAACCCCAGCACTTCCTTGGGCAGCCTGTGCCACTGCATCACTGCTCCTTCTGATTTGTCTGGGTAAAAAAGCCTGAGCAAGGTAGAAAAAACAAAACAGAGAAAACAAGGGCAGAAACAAGAGATTTGTTACCTCCAGCACCACGTGTGGCAGCCCAAGCCCAGTGCAAAGTCTACTGTTAAGCTTCTGTAAGGTCTATTGACCACCTCCTGCTAAAATGTTCATGCAGAAGGCAGTCAGGTGCTGACAGAAAGACAGATCCATGAAGAACAACTCACAGGATGTAGGAGCAACCCATGAAATCAGAGCCAAGCTGTTCCCTGGCACCACGTCACTCCATTTCTTGTCATGTTGCTTGATTTAGTGTTATTAGCAAACACTTCCAATTCCATTTAATAGCAGTTAACAGCTCCAGAGGAAGTGCTAGGAGTTGTGGGTCAGATATGAAATATCTGGGAATACAGACCAAAACTCTCATGTTTGCAGGCAGTGAAGAGGACCTGGGAGTTGAGAACTACTGTCACCTCTGATGTAACTACGTGTAGGTTGCAATGTAAGCAAAATTCTTGCCTCCAATCCACACTGATGGAAAACACGAGGGACCTTCAATTTACTACTGAACCTGACAGAGGGCAAGAATAAGAGCACTGTTTTCCCATGAGA